TTTACACGATTCATTGAAACATATACTGAGTGATATAAATGATTTTTGATACTGTTATTTAGTGGGGTCCCGGGGCCCTAGCTACCCCCATTCTCCCAGCCCATGTTACAACATTCAATGACTGCAATATTTTAATATGATCGTATATTACCGTCAGTGACCCGTTAACCCGTCCGTCTGTCGTTCCCATTTCTTGTTAGCACAATATAGTGGCTACAATAATTATATATTCTTGAAATTAATAAGCGGGATATGGTCAAAAGCTAGCATCATCTATAATTTTTGTATCTTTTGGTGGCCCTCTTGTTATGGGGGGTTGGATGGCTGAATGGTTAGCGTGCGCGCGCTGTATCATAAAGTCTGTCATTGAGTCGACTGGTGTGGTTTCGAATCCCCCGTTGTACGTGACAAGGAGTGGGGTCGCCTGTCCAACCTCGTGGGTTTTCTCCGGGTCCTCCGGTTTCCTCCCACTGCTAAAGACCCCTATGCGCAAGCGAATTATTGAAATAAAATTAAATCATATGTTAGTCCCGAAATGACCTAGTTTGTGTCGAATGGACGTTAAACCCCATTTCTCTATCTTTCCCTCTTGTTATAGCGATTGAATCGAAGCCGAGATATTTGTTCTTTACTGAATGTTAAATAATAGATTACATTAAGCACAGGGGCTTTATCTTCTGACCTCGCTAGCCTGGAGGTCGGGTGTTCGATCCCTGCATTGGCCGAGAAAGTTCATCCAGATTTTCCGGCGTGGTTCTCCCTTGTCAGTGATGCAGGACGGAGGGGCTGACAAGGAAAGCTGTCTAGTCGTTCGGATGGGACGAAAAACCGAGGTCCCGTGTACACATTGGCGTGCACGTAAAAGATCCCTTGGCAGTTGGAATTCGATATAAGAGTAGGCCGTAGTGCCGCTGTGCGGGCAAAATTTCCCTCATAGCACACTGTATGGCGTATGCCCGTCTTCATTAGCCCAGGTTAGGAGCAGAACAGTAGGACGTTAAACTCCATTTCATTTCATTTCATTTTATCTTCTGACACTTAAACAATGTGCCGCGTTCTTCCTCGAAGTGTTAAATCAGCGGTGGAAGTGAAATATTAAAATCCAAGTGCTGTTTTCATACATTATTTATGGATGTTGTCTATTTACGCCAAGTTGTTAGCTGTCAATATATCGAGCCGGTGTGAACTTTTATGAGGTTTTTACAATAAAAGGCTACACTGCATAGTACTTAATTTCGGGAATCAATATTCATGTATGTTTATATTTCATACTATACATTATTTATGTTGAGATCCAAGTCACAAACAGAGGCCACTATATATTATGATGTCAACATTTTCTATGTTTAGGACTTTGTTGAGCAAAAAGTGTTAAAAGTCCCGTTATCAGATGGCAGGCCCGTAGCTAGCTCAAAATTGTGGGGGGGGGGGGCAAAGGCTTCTGGGGGCGCCAATGTACCTACAACTTGACGTCCACGGCGAATGGCATCGTGGACACACCTCCCTTTGGAGGCGGGTCTAGGGTGCTCTCTCCCAGAAAATTTGGGAAAATATGGTTTGCACATGAGATGAACTATGAAAATAGGGTTTGCACCTGAAACTGACAAAGAATTCAATTTTGAGGTTGAATTTGCAACATTGGCATACTATGATTTTTTGATATGAACATTATAAAAATTTGAAGGAAGGGATATGACTTTAACCTGCCTATAATAATTTATGAGACAAAAGAAAAGTTCGGAATCAGGTTCGAGTGCGATTTGTTTGAATTTTGAAGATTATCACGCCGTATTACTCAGCATTTTGCATTATGAGCAGCCCGACAATCATATATTGTCATTATAAGGCGCCCCACCAATCATGTCATTATGGGCCCCCCTCCGGGATAAGGCACCCCACAGATCAAGTCGTTTTGAGCGCCCCATCAATCAAGTTGTGGTGTTAATCGTGTAGTAAGACGCCTCATATATAACAACATTATTGGCGGGGTGCCGAACCAATGTCACTTGGTTTTATGGGCGCCCAACCAATGTCACTCCGCTTTATGTGGCGCCCATGGGAACATTGGTCGTTGGCTTCGTATTGCGTCCAATTCGGGGAACCAATTTTTTGCCCAATGAACAAAGGGCACCTTTGGTGCCCATTGGGGGCATTAAATGTTTCCGGGGGGGGGGGGCAGGCCCCCCTTGCTCCTCCACTTACTACGGGTCTGGATGGTATAATTTAAGCTTTTAAATTAAGGGTTCAAGATCCCAATGCTTCCCACCAAATTGAAGATAGGTTGCCAGCCAACGAAACGTACGCCCACTGCAGCTAAGTCATCCAGGGAGTCAACAAGGGTTGTGGTATATTTTTTCTTTTGTCAGAAATGAAAACATGTACAACACTCTATAATCTGATTACGAGTAACAACACATTTGGCTTCTAGGTCTGCCCTTTTCTAACAGCATACAAAACATTTAATATCAATTACCATAATCATCGGAAAACGATGAAAATTGATAGGCCATAACTTTGGCAGTAATTATCGGAAATCGGAAGGCTTCTTCGTCTCATGACCTTGAACACTGTGTGTCAATAAGATATCAACTTTAGCGTCTAGAGTGTCCACAAGATATTTCAAAGTGCTCACGGGCCATAATATCGGAAACGAATGAAAATCAATAGGCTTGTTCGTCTCACGATCTTAAACACTGTGTATAAATTTAAAGTCAATTGGATATTAACTTTAGCCTAATTATCTCTGTAACACTGTGTATAAATTTAAAGTCAATTGGATATTAACTTTAGCCTAATTATCTCTGTTTCGACACGTGACGTTACATCACGCGGCGTCAATCATTGGCTCAATAGCGCGTGCATTGTTTACATAAGACATTACTGAATCGGGCTAAATGGTGAATTTTACTTATTTTAATACCCATTTACACTAAATAGGAAATGATTTTTACCTACAAATAATTAAAACGTCTTTATTTATTTTTCTAATAAACGAAAAAAATGTTTTAGAATTTAATTTAACGAAAGAAAAAAGTTAATATTTGGGAATCATTAAGTCGCATTGATGTCATCCTTATCAGTGATTGTAGCTGCCTAGCGAAAATTCACTGCTGATCAGTGTGCTCCAGAGCATCCACAAGATTTTTTTTAGAGTGATCAGTAATTATCAGAAATCGTTAAAAATCAATAGGCTTCTTCGTCTCATGACCGTAAAAACTATGTATAAATTTAAAGTCAATCGATATTAACTTTAGTTCCTAGAGCGTCCACAAGCCATTGTTTACGCCAGACCAATGGACGGACGGGGCGACGACAATTTCAAGGTGGGCGTATAAAAACTATAGCCCCTATCGCGCGTTTACAAGGCTTTTTGCAAAAGGGGGGGGGATTAACCCGGGAACAAAAAGTCAGTAGGGGTCAGTCCTCTCATGACCTAAATGCTCTCCACCACTTTTGACAGAAATACGTTAAAAAAAACTAAAGCATCTATCGCGTTCACAAGTTTTTGGCATATGGGGGATAAACCCCGAAATGGAAAGTCGTAGAACATTGAGTATTGCTAGGGTTCATTGTCTCATAACCCCAATGTTTCCCATCAAATATACTGTAGCCTTTATCGCTTTCACAAGTTTTTCAGAAAAGGGGCAATAACTCTGCAACGGAAAGTCGCAGAATGCTGACTATAGACTGCTTTGTCCCCTTTTCTGACGTGGTTTCTCCTTGTCAGTGGTGCAGAACGGAGGGCCTGACAAGGACAGCTGTCTAGTCCTTCGGATGAGACGAAAAACCGAGGTCCTGTGTATATATTGGAATTCACGTAAAAGATCGATTTAAGAGTAGGCGATAGTGCCGCTGCCCGGGGCAAAATTTCCCTCATAGCACACTGTATGGCGTATGCCCGTCTTCATTAGCCAAGTTTAGGAGCAGAATAGTGGACGTTAAACCCCATTTCATTTCATTTTTTTGGCGTTCGTCCCCTCATGACTCAAATACTTCAGACCAAATTTGAAAAAAAATATCTGTAGCCTCTATTGCTTTCACAGAGTTTTCAGAAAAGGGGATAACTCTGGAACAAAAAGTCGCGGAACGCTGAAAACCAATAGGGTTGATCCTCCATGACCCCAATACTTTCTATTCAGCATTTGCGGAACACTGAATATCGATAGAGGTTGGCCTCTCAAGAAAAAGTCGCGGAACGCTTAATATCAATAGGGGTCATAATATGATCCCAATACTTTCCACCAAATTTGAAAAATATCTGTTTAAAACTACAGCCTCCATCGCATTAACAATAAAATAAAGCCAAGTACGAACAATCCAAACCATTAGACAAAATTCGAAGTCCTAAAAAAACGGTATAGGCAAATCAGAAAAACATTGATAAAAACTGCAGCCTTTTCGGCAAAGGGGGATAACTTCGGAAAGGAAAGTCACGGAACACTGAATTTTGATAGGGTTAGTCCACTCATGACCACGATGCTTCACACAAAATTTGTCAAAAACTGTAGCTTCTATTGCATTTTCGGCAAAGGGGTGGGGTGGGGTGGGGGAATAACTTTGGAACGGAAAGTCGTCAAAAACTGTAGCCAATACCGCGTTCAAGAGCCAATTGTTGACAGGTGGCGACATAATACGCCCACACAAATTTAGCTATTGTTCTAACTAAAGGTTTTGTCATACTGCACGCAGCGATCCATCTACGTCATACTTCGAGAATACAGGCGGAGCTAGCTGTAGACAGGCAGTCTAAGTTTGGGATGAGGTTTAGTGTGACTATATGCGTCTAATCGACAGCTAGGAAACAAACTTTGCTATATAACAGTGTATACTATATTCCAATCAAATTATCTCTAAATATAATCAGGGAAACAAATAATGACAGACAAACCCTAAAGCTCAATTCGCAGTTAAACCGACAGGGGACTAAAAACATATGATTTTAATTAGATGGATAAAACCATATGGTTCCAATTTGTACAACTATAATGACACAAGAAATCGATAATTCATTTGTTTTAATAATAAAGGTTTAGAAAAATATACATACAAATATAAAAGACTTTTATTACATTTATTTATTAAATGAAATGAAATGAAATGAAATGGGGTTTAACGTCCTACTGTTCTGCTCCTAACCTGGGCTAATGAAGACGGGCATACGGCATACAGTGTGCTATGAGGGAAATTTTGCCCGCACAGCGGCACTACGGCCTACTCTTATATCGAATTCCAACTGCCAAGGGATCTTTTACGTGCACGCCAATGTGTACACGGGACCTCGGTTTTTCGTCCCATCCGAACGACTAGACAGCTTTCCTTGTCAGCCCCTCCGTCCCGCATCACTGACAAGGGAGAACCACGCCGGAAAATCTGGATGAACTTTCTCGGCCAATGCAGGGATCGAACACCCGACCTCCAGGCTAGCCATTTATTTATTAACATATCACAGTTACTGGATATTTATAGATACTCCAAATTTAATAAAAGTGACAGACAGCAATATATATATGGCCCAAATTTCAACTCTGTTGGCTTGGTCAATTAATTCATCAGTCGAGTCAATTAATTCATCAGTCGAAATAGATCTATTCTTGACATCTTCAGATGATTATCATCAATTTCTCACAAGGGGTACACTAAAGAAATGTGTTGTACAATCCTTTGATTGATATTGGAGACAAACCCGACATTATATGATACAATGGAGTTTATTAACAAAAGATACACATCCATCAAAAATTATGCAAAATATAGACTACAAAATAATTCTTGGTGAGCTATCGGTAAACAGTCATTGAATAATAATAATATTATAAATATAAATAAATTGTAATCTTAAATTGGAATGTATTTCTTTATAACATATACCAGGCTTATATCAGAAATCTTAATACAGGGCCACCTGCACCATTATCAAAATCATCGGTATTGGCTATAAAATTGTCAACAAATTCTACAGAGAAAGTAAAAATGTAAATGTAAATATAACTCTTTGAAACAAAAAATTTAAAATCAATTTGAAACTCGGTCTGGTAGATATCATCAATTTCAATATTTTTTTTGATGAATTTTGATAGAGTTGCTTGTTAGGCTAAATGAACAATATAAAGTTTTTAAAAACTCCCAAGTGAAACTCCATGTATACCGGGTTCATAAGCTTTGACTGTTCCAGTATGACAAGAAGATAACTCAGCAAAAATGCCTTTGATATTTACAATCCAAAAGTTCTAACGCATTTGATATTTACAATCCAAAAGTTTTGGAAATCCATAGAGTTCTTCCTTATACCAAAATGAACAGCCTTGCCATATTTTTATAAATTATGTAGAGGGCTTTTCGCTTTTTTTTCTGTTTGCCATTCACTAAATTTCATTAAGCATTAATGGGGGGGGGGGGTAAACTTGGCAATTTGTGAACAATTAATGACAAAACCCTGCAAATTTGAAAATATCTGCCAAACCTCTGATTTAGACAGTGTTCACAAGCTGATGAAAATAAGACATCCACATTAAATGTGGATAAATAAAAATAATTGTAAAAGAAAACAGTCCAAAACAAAAACAATTTCTAAACTGAAATTTGATTGTAAAAGAATTCAAAAATAATGAGATGATAATCAACATAAAAGAAAAGAGTGAAGAATCTCCATTTTAATAACGTGTGTCAAAGTATGACAGATTTAGCAAATTTAAGCGTTTCATTTTGTACCCACATAAATAAAATTGCTGTTATATTAACCTGAAAATTATTTTGTACTTCCATACATAAAATATTTAGAGGAACAGAAGATATCTTGAGTTTGAATATTTGTCTGCGATCTCCAGTAGGCTTTTTATATAATATATATTTATGGAAATAGACAAAAATTTATTTTTCAACAGACTTTATATAAAAAAATAGAAATATTTGAGGTGTTTTTCCATCTGGATGGTCAATTAATTTAAACAACAATGGTGTGATTATAATTTAGAGACAAACCACAGGGATCAATGGTCGTCAATGTTAAATATAACTTGGGTGTTTTAGCTTTATCTGGTAAACGGATAGAAAGTGAGGGAACTGTTGTTTCTTGCCACTGCATGATGTCAGCACCACCTAAAGCAGTTCCCAAACTGACTTCATAATACAGGTTCTTCCATGTGGAAACAAATGCTTCTCTCCATGATATTTCCATTGTTTTCCCATCAAATGAATTGGCTGTTTTTATTTTTGATAGATCTAAAACAAAATATGTCATATTAGCCAGTTTGCAAAGAGCCCCTCTTACATGTACCTTAGTAACAAAATTAAGAAGGCTTGTTTACTGAATGGTAATTTCTTGGCAAAACGTAAATTGTTATTACAAATTACTGAGACAACGCCATACACCATGTAAACTTAAAAACATGCATTCAAAATATTTCATTGTCACCAACTAGACATTATTGAGATACTTATGTCTGTGACTACTATTATTGCAGATCTTTTTCATTTATACTGATTTTCTGGAGAGGAGGGAGTCAAGTGGTCTAATGAGTGCACTTTAGATCATAAAGTCTGTCACTGATTCAAGTGTTGTGATCTTGATCTTAAGCTTGTATGTGATAAAACGTACGGTTGCCTACCCAATCTCATGGGTTATCTGCTGCTTAAGACCCCTATGTGCAAGGGTTCTATTATTTGACGGTGTATTATTTAGAAAGTCAAATTGCTATTTACTTGAATTTGCCTTTGTTTATTGACCCTTTGTCAATGATTGACCATCGGGAAGTAATGCTTAAAAGTATTTGCATTTTGTGAAAAATACAATGCTTCCTGATATTGGTATATAGCAACCAATAGTTAATTTGTGTAACAGTCCACAGCTTACATAAAGCTTACAAACCCCATTATTAAAATCCTTCAAATGACAATAAGCATCTTGATGCTTAAATAGAATATAACATATGAGATCAACTCAATTCAATACTTTACCCTGCGTACTACTAAAGATATCAAACAATGATAAAATGTTAACTAACCTTGTAAAACTGGAGGTTGTGCTTTAGATGTTATTACTGTTGATAAAGAATTGTCTTGTCTTCCTAATACATTTATAGTAGAAACACTAACATTATAGTTAGAGTTAGGTTGTAGTGATAAACTTCTTAATTTAGCCTGGTTATAACCAATATCTATAACTCGAACTTCCTTATCTAGAGTAGAACCTGGACCAACAACTGATACCTGTTAAAATAATAGTCAAATATAATTGAATGATTAATTATATTTTTGCCTCAATAAACTTTATTTGCAGAAAAAATTAAATAACCTTTCGAAACATATATCTTCAGCAATTGCCAACTGGGCACCTACAGTTATCTTATGTTACACAGCGTGGTTAGCACACATCTATTCATCACCTAACACACATGCTTCACAGTTACATTTGTATTGATAGATTCTAATGGGAATTTTGCTGAAATTTGAATATATTTTCCTGTCCATCCCTTGAGGAAATATATCTTTAAAGAATATATTATGTTTAGCATAAGATAATTAAACGATTTACATATTAGATGCTTTAATATTTAGATCTTTTACTAAGGTCTTCAATTCTTTTACTGCAATTGTTAGACCCAATATACAGAACAATGAGTGAGTAATCTAAATGGGTTTCCTACCTGAATTGATTTTGTATCAACTCCTCCGCTTTCTAAATTCCACTGCAATCGTAATGCATTCGTTAATGGATGACATTCATTTTTAACCGGATATTCAGACACCTCATCTTTCAAAATATCCATCTGGCCACCTGCATTGACAGACATCTTGTTTATAACCAAAACGCCATCAGTGGTTGCTGTAGTTGGTAAACCAGCTTTATTATAACATCTTACAGTAGAATAAACTTCTCTAGAATCTTCTATTAAATTTTCAGGAACTTCAACTTGTGCAATTGATTGACCATTTGGCACTGGGATGAATGGCTGTATATCAACACTATCACGGGTTGAACCTGACAAAAATCATATACTTCTTAGTAACAGTCAACCAATTTGGTTAATTTAAAAATATCATGCATAGGACTTCATTGCATTACAGAAGAGCATTTTTCGAAAATTAATGAATATCTTAAAAAGTACCATCATGCTATGGACCAGGAACTGACTATGATGTTATCGCAGCCATCTTGGAATTGTTGACGACTGACGTCATATCAAAAATTGAAATTGAAGTCCGTTAATCAATGCACAATTGTCCAAGGAATATGCATGCCAAGTTTCATATCGATCGTACATGAATTGGCACAGCTTTAGGCTTTTTCTGAAGAACGTCGCCCATAAAAACAAAAACTGTAAGAACAGGATGAGTAGCACTTCGGTCCAGTTCCTGGTCCAAAAGGTTGTAAAAGTCACAAGATGGTTGTAAAACTATATTTTCCATCTTACAAGATGTATTTTTAAAACAAAAACAATAGCTAAACGATTATTTTCACATGAAAGTGGTTATTCCCGACTAACAAATAACATAATTACAACATTAAGAATATGGTACAGAGTAGAGTATAAATTATTATTATTACCAATGGCCCATTGACAACTATGTATGCCCGATTCCTTATCTGTTATCTTCCAATTAACTGATACCAATCTGGTCAATTGAAAACTGACGTCAGCACCTAAAATACAAATCATGGATACTTGAATCAGAACACCTTAATAAAGTTAGTAAATGGTTAATGTTCATGTATATCATCACTTTTAAACAGGGACCATATAGTTCAAAAACGGATGCAGGCTGTTTCGTAACCTGGCTGTTCCATACTTAGTTCATTCGTACCTCACATGAGCCGTTTTGTACTTGACTTCATACCTCAAATTGATTTGTACCTTTTCCTATGTTGTTGAAATCAGTTGAAAGGAATTGAATTAAAGGTGAAACGATTTGATCAAATCCAACAGCTACCCTGTTAAGGAGGTGTGCCTTTGTCTACGGAACAACATCCACTCCTGCTGCCTCCTAACAGACTTGTCTACCAAGCAATAAAGATAGATTTAAAAAAAAAACCCATGTAAAAGTTCTCTTGTTCTCTTGAAATTAACCAAGGTACAAAACGGCTCATGTGAGGTACCAATGAACTAAGTACGAAACAGCCAGGTTATGAAACAGCTTGCATTCTCAAACAGTAATCAGAAAGAAAACCTGCCAGTCACATGGACAACACTATCATAAAAAACTAATTTTTCTTTTATCTAAAAAGTACATTTTCAATTCTTTCTTACCTAAACCATCGTTTATTTCTGATATTACAGGTGGCGTCATATCAACAATAATACTCTCTGATTTGCTAACAGTTGTCAGTCCTGCAGCATTGGTTGACAGCACTGTCAGATAAATTAGAGTATTATGGGCTAGTTTTAAGCCAGTGGCTGTTGCATGTTGATTTCTGCCCACACTAGTGAATGACTGAATCTGAGTTCCACCTTTAACAGTTCCTGAAAGAAAAACGACCACAAACATATCAATTATTTTAAATTACCATTATTATACATGTACAATCGACTGCTCTTTGTGATTTAAATCTTACAGTTCTGCATCAACTAGGACAATGAAGATGGTATCTTGGATTACAAAAGATGATAGAATCTAATATAACTGAATAAATCGGACACAGATTGTCCAATAAAATCTATTTAAAACTCTTTAAACTGGACCATATAATAGTCAATTTTGATCCAGCAGCTTTACAGATCTACCGACCTGTCCGGTGTGGCTATTCCCCCCCCCCCACTTTCCCTTATCTCGTTACATTTAAAAATAATAAAAAGCTTTAAAGAGAAGGTGCAATTATAAAAAAATGTTGTATTTCCTAAACTTACCAAGAGCCCATTGATAATCTGTAATAGGACTTTGATCATCTTTAAAATGCCAGGTAAGATGAAGAGATGACCAATAAGGTCTAAACACTGTATGATGTATTAAGTGATTAGAATCACTTGTTATATCTATATAATTAATTTGTTGCACATATACATCATCTACAGCTAATATCATATTTAATTTGTTGGTACCAATTTTAATCACTTCTCTTGATTCTGTTGGCTGGAAAACATATGTAAATTTATTCCATAATATTAATGGCTGTCCTCCAACATCACATAATCCTTGGCATCTCTGTGGATCTAGGTTAAATGGGTGAATCTCCTTTCCTAATTGGACAAAACCTTCAATGTTGCGATGGTGCGAAGTGACATCATGAGGATATCCTACATGCACTACAATGTGATACACGTTTTGGACATTCAAATTAGAAACAGTTTGTTGTATTTCGCCTTTCACTTTGATATAGGCTCTGCCTTGATTTGAAACGGACGACTCTGATTGGACGGTTTTAATACAAGAGGTAGAGTCAGCTTCCCAATTTGCTGGTAGTTGGTCATCACATTCCTTAGTTGATTCTGTCACGTTCTCCTCAAAAGATGGATTTTTGATGAGATTTTCACCAATATATTCTACATCAACGGGAACAGGTCTTGTGGTATCAATTTTCATACCATCAGACACAGCTACTTCAGACTTCAAGCCACTACCATCTATAGCATATACTTTACAATAAATCTTCGATTCTAAAAATAAAAAAAAAAGATTAGGAAATTGGAATAAACAGAGAAAAAAAAAACATTTTCTGGTTATCCAAATGCAAATGACACCAAACGATCACTGTGCTCAAGATTTGAAAATAGCATCAGATGGTGTTAAGTAATGCTCAATTGATTAAATACTCATTAAATGTTCACTGTACTTAAAATATATCTTAATACTAATTACTTTATGCTTACCTTGATTTAAAGGTGTAGTTAGGTTTACAGATACTCTAGTATTTAATCCTACATTCTTCCAGTCGAGTATATTACAACCTGTAGTACTAACATCAGTACCAATACACCAGTAATATTTAACTATACCACTATCACTATCAATAAATCCATACCATGATGCTGATACCATTGATGAAGAACTCTGGTAATCTTTAACATTTTTGTCTTAAAACAAAAAATATGAATATCTGTAAATAATATAGTTCAATAGCCATACAAGTACAATTTATATTTTATTTAAAGATGTATTCCCACTAAACTATTTATAGGGTAGTTATATCTAATGAAAGTATGGTTTATTTGCTATATTAGGAAAGTAGAGACACTCAATCTGGATTCCCTGAAAAACACCCATTGAGTGCCCACAGGACAAAAGTGTAAAGGTGTCACTAACTGGCAGTCTGTATTGTATGTGTTGATCGCTAGTGGTTGTGAGAACACTGAGAAACTTAAGTGTATAATAGAGTCTATAAATAAACAGTGAAAAAAGAAGTCAACAGAGAATAATCCAAGAATTTACTAAGGCTTCGATACTTATGGTAAATGGACAGTGACTAACAAAAAATACAAACTGAAAAATGGATTATCCCTCAATCAAGTCATGTGACAAACACGGCTGCTTAAAATAGATTTTTGTGGCTTGGGGTAATTTTCTTGCGATTAAAATTTTTTATAGATGGATTTAAAGCAAACTTTTGATAGATGAATTAGTTTGAGTATGTTTTTAGTCCAAATATATCATCAAATGACACACTTTGTATACAGGAAGGCAAGTTTAATTCATTGTTTGTTCAATATTCAGATATTACTTACTAATTTTGTTTAGGATGAAGCGATGAATGGTAGTAGTATATGCCACAAAATTTAAAAACATGGATAACACAGAATAAACTTTGTTTGGTGATTAATCAAATATAGATATATTGTATATCTATTACATCATACCATTAGGAAGGAATATAATACAATATAGAATGACTTCAATTTACTTCAATAAGTTCTTATCACAAGGTGAAGATACCTCAAATATAATACTATTGATACACAAATTAAACTGTACCTACCATCACCATCATGTATAATACCAGAAGTAGGAGGGGTATTATCTATGAGTATACCATCACTATTAGCCCAGCTAACTAATCCAGCTTTATTATAAGCTAATACTGTACTATAATATTCCTTAGCCTCTTGTAAATTTAAACCTGTAGCTGTGTAAACAACCTCATTTTCTGCTATGTTGGTGGGTGTCTCATGCACATTGTGTCCTATGTTAAATAGATAATAAATATATATCCTTGAAACTTGAGAGTCTAGAATCATAACCATTAACAAAAACTACCAAGAAGAATACATGTTGCTAATGATGTATCTTGCAAGCTATGAATATGAAACCCTATCCAGTTTAAAATCTACACATACTGCCATTAATCAGTACAGCCAGCAATAACTTAGGATATGTTGTTTGTAGAGTATATATATAATTTTTGATACATGTCTTCATGCACTAACAAACAGTTGTATGCCAAATTTGCCATTGAATTTTTGATTTTATTCAATGTGAGCTTACTAATCACTTACAGTTAAAAATTAATTTTTCTACGTCATAAAAAATATCATAATTTTAGTTAAATAATAAGTTTTCAGCTTGCCAAAGATGACCTAAATATTCTTGAGGGAACAATATCTTAAAGGAAAATTGCTAATAATCTGCTTTACTATGGATTGTCCTCATTTTCGTATTGGTAACATAAGAGATATACATAACATTTACCTTGTGGATGTGTGCTAAGGTACGGTTTAAAATAATCTAAACCATGAATTCCTCCTCTAAATTTATTTTTCCAACCAACAATAACCTGATTACTAGATGTTTGATAATCTATATCTTTAGTACTTGTAATAGTTTCCAATTCTTTTACCTGGATAATAAACAAGTTTTTAAATTATTCATATTGTAGTTACACATACTAGCAAATATATGTATTTCGTTATATAAAAATATTGAACACAATGAATAATATATATAGATGCCATCATTTACCGATTGGTTAGCGAATGTGCGTTGTATCATTAGATCAGTCTTTGAGTCAACTGATGTGGTTTAGATTCCCCGGTTGTAAGTGACAAGGACTAGGGTCGCCTGTCCAACCTCAGGGATTTTCTCCAGGACTTTTAGTTTCCTCCCACTGCTAAAAACCCCTACGTACAAGCAAATTATTGAAATAAAAAATTGAATCATGTTAGTCTCGAAATGATCTAGTTTGTGTTGAGTGGACGTTAAAGACCATTTTTCTCTCTCTCTCTCTCTCCCCATTCATACCCAAAACATATAAAACTATAATTTTGAAAACAAGCTGTTACCATGCAAGACACAAATGTGGGCATAGAAAAATCATAAATTATTAATCGACAAAAATAACCAAGAAACTTGGATCAGTTATCTATTATCTTCATTTATAAACTATGTAACTTACAGTAGATCCAGCAAGACGACCAAGACTAGGGGCAGACGTCAGTACTACAATTCCAGGAGATTTAAATACAGCATACTTATCAGTACCATACCACGCCCTCACAAAGATGCTGTATGATATAGACTCTACCAACTTTTTATCTAAAATATATTTTATGTTTTAATTAACAATAAGTTGTAGATCACCTCATTACTATATATTTATCAATTTGGTTTTTTAACTCGGTTATATATTTATAATGAAATTTGAAATCCATAGAATATAAAAGTAATTAATGGGCCCAAAGCCGAATGATGTGACACACCAGCAATTATAGGATTTAATATACTTCCTTGATTTACCTAAAGCTAAAAAGGCCATCATATTTTCACCAACATCGAACCAGGTCCTGTCTTCATCTGAATCAAATATACCAGTTGGTGTATCTTCATTTGAATGCCCAGCACTTATTTCATATCTGTATAATAAAACACAATGTTGTAGAACAATAGAAGCTATTAGTTACGCTTTATACAATCATTTAAATCAGAGGTGGCCAACCTTCTACATACAAATTCAGATGCGCCATACAGCTCTTGTACCCCTGTCAACTTGTAAAAATATGTTTATAGGCAGGACGATTGCAGAACAAAGGTCCATATTTCCTAGTTTGATTCATTCAGCATATTTTTAACTTGAAAATAAATTAATGTAAAGAAGACAACATTCACAAAAAAGGATGTGCTTGAATACTAAAATTGCTAAAAATAATCAATCGGCTTACTGCCTTACTTATTTTCTCTGGGATGTAATGCACCATTTCTAACTAACCAATATGCCATGTTAAGACGCATGAACAGGAGGTAGGTCATGTCTGATTTAAATGATGACTTTCTTAATCCTTTAACGCTCAAAATCCATAGCTACATTATATTCCTATTTTCAAAATGCCTATAAAGGTTGTATTTTATTGAATTAACAACACAGTTTTATTTTATAGTACTTAATAACCTGGCTGTGTAATTAGTATTATTAGTAATTAAAACTTGCTATTACTAGACATTCTTACCTGATAACAGAAAGACCTTGTGTATTTGTAACTCTCCATCTAGCAGCTAAATAGTTATCAGAGGATGTGTAACGTGGCTGAACTGCAGCAGTTGACACTAAATCTGTAACTTGTATAAGGTTGTTTGGATTCCCTACAGAAATATACACAGAAATAAAGAGATAAAATTTAGAAAAACGTCAAGTCAAATGGTTTTCTTTGAAAGTATTAAAGGTATTAAAGAGTGACATTTTCTAAATCATCATTTCATTTGCACATCGGATTTACAATTTGAAACAAAATACATGGTTAAATTACCTTGGGAGACATCATTACAATTCAGAGCAGCAGAGCATTTTTTATCTTGTGCACCGCAAGAACAATGTCCTTCACAATCATAGGGCTGACAACGTCTGACTAAATCTAATATTCCTCCTTCAACCAATTCAAATTCAGAATGAGCTGGGAGACTTTTAAATCCAACCTATGGTTAAAGTAAAGAGAATGATGTCAGTATAAGTTTCACATAAAAACAAAACAAAGATGGTTTTAACATTAAGCAAGTACCATATAATTATGTATTTATTCCTGCTTCATATTTGAAATATGGCTTGGAGAATAGTTTTATTGTATGGGTATTTCAGTCATGATTATTAACAGCTTAGGAAGATACATCAAATATTCAGGACAAAGTTAAAAGATCCTAATAGAAAACATAAATAAATAATATTAATACTAACCCCATTAATAGCCCAAACTGATATGAATATTCTACTGCCAATCTGAAGTGGTTTAGTGTCAATGGTAACTGTCTGTACCATACCTTCATCGTCAAAATCTGCTCCAATAACATGCTGGAAAGTTGCTTCTATACCATCCTAGATCACAAAAAATCAGATTAAACAATCAATTATATTATCTTAAGATTTAAAGATACAGTATGTAAGATTTAGATAAAGAGCTGGCCGTTATTAATATAATAGTTCAAAAATAGATAATACAAAACAAATATAATGAACATTTTATTCAAATTACTATATTCTGAGATAATTTTTTCACTACTTAAAGTTTTGACCTGCAATAAAAACCTGCAATAGGTCGAATTCCCACATCATACGAGCAGTCAACAATGGCATAATCAAGGGCAATAATGCCATAAGTAATCAGATTTTTCGTTTCACTATTATGACCAATGACAGGCAGATGGGATGGAATATAACTTTTGTCACTAGGGCGGTCACAGGATTTTACGAAGTGAAAAGGGGTCATAACTGTAGAATTAATAAACAGAAATTTTAAAAATTCAATTGCTGTTTTGTTTAATCAATTTAAATAAAGCAAATAAATTTCAAACAAATCAGATGACAACTTTTGTCATTTCCTTTAGTTGCAGCAGTCATCCAATGATATTTCATTTCTTAGAGGTCATTTCTCTGTATCATACAGAATTTTCATGGTACATTAAGTTGCAAATATACAGCTGACAGGAATACAGGAATAAAATGTCTTATTCAAGAACATAAAACTTTGACATATAACTAGAGTGAGGATATAGAACATACAACCATGTAATTATATATCAAGCTCACCAACCATTGTGTTGTATATCTATCTTATTTATCATGCTGTAAGAATATTATACAGTATATGTCACCTTCACTTAATTACCTTATTGAGGTCAGTAAAGAAAGGCTTAGTTCCAACAGTGACTCTATATTCACTTATGCCAGTATGAAGATCAGCAAATCCCAACCATGCTATGTTTATTAAATTTATCGTCCAGCTGATCCATTCATTTTTATCTCTATGTAAAGCAGCGGCATGGCTTGTGTCTACAGCAAACATGCCTAAATTAGAAGAATTTAAAGTTTAGTATAATGGTAGTAAAAAATGTAGAAGGAAATGAAGTACTGATCAGACAAGCTTTATATAATTAAGTTTCTGGTTACGAAAGATTAATGAATGAAGATGTTTGATAACAATTTTTAAGATTTCATATTTGGCTGTGGTTTATATTGAACAAAAAAATATTTTAAACATTTCTGGCTGTATTAGGAAATGTTATGTAGGCTAAATTATAAAGTACACAACACTAACAAATGTTATTGCATTCAAGAATGGCTCTGGAATTGTAAAGTGACTCACTATTTTCAAAATATGCTAAAAATCAATTCGTCTGCTTAATTTATTAACACACTATTCATGCATTAGTTGTAATTGCTGTTATTCAAGATACAAGAATTTATAATTTATAATTTACCTCTGGTAGGTGGTGTAGAATCAACTGTTATATCATCTGTAATACTTGACTGACACAAACCAGCTAAATTACAACCAATAACTTTAACTTTATATTTACTACCGTCATGTAGATCTAGACTTGAAAATGTATACTCAGTTAACACACTGGGAATCTGAAACACAATTTGAAATGGGCATGGTAGATTGATGTAAAAATTAAGACAGAAATTCATCTTACATTCAGGGCACAGAGAGAGAGAGTGAATGATTTGAGGTTTTCACGAATTCAAATTATCCCCCCTTGATGATTTCATTGGCCACGTAGGTACATTCGATGAACCAATCAAAAAAACTGTTTACATACCAGTCTTAGCACCATTGTTTACATTCACTGCAATACAGCAGCTTGTCCACTCGATTATGTGAAGGTTTGCAAGGAATTTAATATCAGAGAAGTGACATGCACACATAATGGCAATCTTAGTAGCAATAAGGAATTGTTTAATTGATTGATAAAAACAGCACAATTACCAAGGGCAGATAATTTGACTGAACCATTAACGTTTTTGTAGGTGTATAATCATTATTAAACTCTCATGCTCATTAAGTCATAATGACAGATATGTTACTTACCTCAATAGCGGTAGCGTTGAAATCTCCCAATAAATGAGGTGAAATAGAAATATATTGTCTTTCTATATCTGATTCATCATCAGTAAACTTCCATTCTATCTTAATACTAGATTTTGATATAACAGTTGATGATAAAATAGAACTATATGATGACAGAACAACTTTCTTGGTCACAACTGGTAATGTTGTATCGATCATAAAACCATTAGATGTAACCTCACTGTATAAACCTGAAAATATCACCAAACACCCCAAAATGATACCTCAAATGTCTTAAATGGATACAAAATATCATAATTTATCCTTATATAACATACAACTTTTTCTACTGTAATATTTGTTTAAATATGGTTAGTTCTTAAAAAAAGCAATAAGGATCATTATGTTTAAATACGACTTTCACTATCGTAATATTTGTTCAAATATGGCAACTTTAGTTTTTAAAAGAAACATTATGTTTTACATGGTTGCTGGTCTTTTGATACCAAGGTGATCTGATTCACTGTTTTTATGAGCATCAAAAGCACCTAAATGCATGGAATTCTACCTGCTTTATTATAACATCTAACAGTTATATAGATTATGGTATCAATAGGTAATAGTTTATTATCAGGTAAATTAGATCTGTAAGCTAGTTCAACCACAGGTAACTCCTGAGCTTTCAGTAATTCATCGCCCCCAGTGGTTGTTCCTACTCTCCATTCATATTTCTCAATACCAGATTCGGTATCCCTAAAACCATGCCATTTAGCACCAACAAATTTTCTGAAAAATAAATATCCATTAGTTGCATGAATAAAATATTGCCTTTCTATTGACTATAAAGATAAAAAAAAATTACAAAGGCAAAATAAACAATGACTTTAAATAAGATCTAAAATTCACCTTGTAGCCTGATATTCTATATCCAAATCTTTGGTACCATCTTGCACTCTACCAACAATCGGTGCTGTGTGGTCAACAATGACTCCATCAGAAAAAGCAGAAGTACACATGTCAGCCATATTGCATCCTGTTACTGTGGTGATGTATTTGATTCCAGGAGCAAGTTTGGATTGTGGGAAAGTAAAAACTGAAATATTGACATTTTAAATCAGTTGTTTTAAATTCTTTAGACTGGAAAATACCTGTTGAGATTAAAATATTGTCTATCCTAAGTGTAGGTCTTCAGAATTTGAATTTGGAAAATAAACAGGTACTAGTTTAAAAAAAGTTATTTCTTACACTGAGATGTTCCCGTTTTTATTTCAGGAATGATGTCATCACAATCATTACAGGTACCAACTTTAACAGTATAGTATTTCATGGATGAATGGGGATCATGGAATCCTTGCCATCTAACGGAGAGTGGTGATTGGTTAGTTATATAATCTACATCATCTCCGTCAGAGTCTAGCACATCAATCACGTGTCCTACAGTAGGTGGTGTTGCGTCGACTGTTACAGGCCGTGATATAATTGTAGTAGATAATCCTGCACCATTAATAGCCTGAAAATATTTTGAATTTCATCAGTGCTTCATGATATGCAAATGAAATGATTGGATGACAAAACAGTATAAATAAAAGGTAAATAATATATACAAAGTATGAGAATATCAATTCACATAGGTAGGCAATCTAATTACAATTAGTTTTTAATTTCATTTAATAACTTCTAGTGACAGATCTTCCATTTCAATGAGTCATACTATAACCCAAACAGATTTACTCATATAGCTTTGGTTCATAAAGAGCAACTTTGTATAACAATACAGACAATTTGATTGGTCAATAAGTTTATGTGATCTGAACATTGTCTTCAAGTTAATATGTCAGATGTCAATATAGCCCAATAGATAAATCAACAAACTGTAATGGACATCAAGTTTAATAAGATTGATGTTTTAGTCTATATACACAATAATATATATAGTTCTATCCAATCATAGTTCATTACATTATTTTTCAAATGTAATCATTACAATTGCCTTCTCATTTTTAGAAATTGATTTAATGATTAATTACCATTACTTTATGACTATATAAAGAACTCTATAATAAAATGGAAGTGGGGTTTTAATAGAATGGTGCACTAAAAATATATATCATATTGTATAGTTATGTTTTCATAGACAGCATTAATTATACAACATACTTGTACAGTAACGAAGTAGGTATGACCATCCAAGAGCATTCCGTTTACATTGGCTTCAGCACAATCATTGGGTGTGGTGGTATATTTCGTGATGTCTTGGTGACCCGGTCTACTTCCTATTGCCCACCTATATTGACTTATACCACTTTCCATATCTTTGAATGACCCAGTCCAACTGAAAAAACATTCATTGAATCTTGGTTTATTTGGAATCTATTTTTATAAATATTTATCAATTGTATTTTACTAAATACATTGTATAAAATAAATTGTATAAAGATTTACTGTATGTATACTATTTATTTGAACACTAGAAAAGACAGGCATATTTCATACATTGTGCAATGGGGCAATTTTGACATGACAGTGGTGGTTAATTCTACTCTCCATCAAATTCTAACTGTCAAGAGTTCTTTGACAACCACACCAACAAGTACACATGTGACTCTCATCGACTAGGTGCTGGTCTTTGCAAGGCCCTTCACCTTACACCAATCAGCACGGGGAAATGAGGTTGGAAAAATGGAGGAACTTTTTGGCCAACACAGAGACAGAAATGAGGTTTAACGTCCACTTCAGGACTAACATATGGTTCAATTTTATTTTAATAATTCACTTGCGTATAGGGGTCTATCGCAGTAGGTGGGAACAGGAGGACACAGAGAAGACCCATGAGGTTAGACAGATGACCCTACTCCTTGTCACATTCAAGTGGGGAATCGCAACTATGCCACTTGGCTCAATGACAGACCTTGTGATTTCACGTGTTAACCACTAGACCATCCCCCCCCACCCCGCCCCAACACAGGGATTGAAACTATCACCTACTGGTAATTAAGCCTAGTTACATACATTTGATTAGTATCTTCTTTACATGTAAGACAGAAAATATTTATATATATATTTATATATAATTACCACATAGATAAAACATCATTCGACTGTATATAAGTATTAGTAAATTGTATTGGTTTGTGGGTTGATAATGGTGGACTATTATCAATAATAAATCCTTCAGAATAAAGTGTTTTCGTTCTGTTCACAAAATCAGTGGCTGTAAATGAAAACAAAAAAAAATATCAAAGTAATCTTTATTGTGCTTTGTTCATTTTATGTTCATGGCCATATATATGTGTGCCTTTTAATCTTTTCTAAGGTAATGTTAAATTTTTAAACTGATCTAATCATAGTTGTACCTATTTACAGCAGAACAGTCAAGGAAAGTGGGACGGACGGACGGACAGACACATTTTAATAGTCCCCTGCTTTCTTCAAAAGGCAGTGAACAAAAAAGATTTGTTCAGTGTCATTAAGCCCTTGAGATGATTACATTTACTGAACGAAGAGGTAAGCCTCCATTGACTAACCTATATTCATAAACCTCCACTCTTTATCAGATCTAGGATTTTATAACTGTATTTTAAAAGACAGAATTGCATCTCATATAAGACAGAATTGTCTAAGTATTTTTCTATTGTAATTTCTATATATACATACCTTGTATAGTGACATAATAAGTGTGGCCATTTTGTAAAGAAAGATGGTGGAATATTTTATGATTAATCAAGCCAACACTATGTTTAGTTACAATATCTTCTCCTCCTTCAACGGAACCTGTTCAATTATATATCAGATCATTAAATCTACAGGTAAAGAATCTAACATATTTAATTGTCATTGACTTAAAATATTCTAAAGAACATATTATATTTTTACTTTCAAAATGAACAGAAGTAAATGAAAAGGTTATGAAATGCATACCTATAGACAAATGGTATTGTGAAATTCCACTGGGATGAACAGTTATTCCTCCATTTTCTTCTACATCAATAAAATTATCCCAGTAAACAGTTACATCACTGCTGGATGACTAAAATACAAATCAATACAAAATTAGTCACGATATAGGCTATGCATATTTTTTTTCTAGAGCATGATCGGATGACATTGTAGTTTTCTATAATAACTTGATGGAATAATTTGTTACCTGATATTTGAAGTCTTTAAGATTTTCTACCCAAACTCGACCCCCTGTAGGTGCTGTTAAATCTACTGTAATACCATCACTACAAGCATTCACTTCCGCTAGATCTTCCTGCCATTTCTCGTGAGTTGTATTTTTAGCTTCTGCATGGATACAGATATGATATCGACGACCATGTTTTAGACTTTCCAATGGGAAAATGTTGATGAATTCCTTGTCTAAAAGAGAAATAAAATTCAGCATACATAATATTCGATAAGGCTTGGGGACTGGACAATGTAACACATTCCTCAAGTGGCTTTATTATCCATGTTGTAATAAGTTACTTCATCTCATGATTCTCACTGTTTTAGCATAAACAATATTTTGGAATTAGGGGCCTGTTCTATAAATACTGATCATGGTTCAATGTGGAAATTGGTCAAAATTCTATAGAGTGACTACAATTACTAGTAAGTGACAATATCTCTTGAGGTATTTTTGACGGAACTATTTTTAGTTCAATACTAACTATTCCAGAAAATTATTTGAAGATCTGGCAAGAACTTACTTAACTATCTGTAGAGTGAATATAGGTATGGTAATATATATATATATATTGTACAAGTGGGTAGATTTGTGTGAATAAGGAAATATCTTAGCAGAGAATAATATGATTACAATTTTAAAGTAAACCAGGATACAACCAAACTTTAGCCCAATACTTGGTATTTAATCAAAATCAACACGTTTAGCTGCAGTAGAGTGATTATAAATATGTGGCATCTGGTAATAATATCTTACCACTTTCTCCACAGACTAAAACAGAAGGGTGTGAACAGGGATCCCTGATGGATACCAAATTTCTTGTAAAATGTGTTACTCTTGAAAAAGACTGATCTTCAATTAATCCCCACTTATAATTTTGGTGTCTTAATGTCGGCCATACAGCAGATATAATATTTTTATAAGGTGTATAGTCTACATCTTGTTTAAACCAGGCTGCGTTCAGTTCTAACTTAATCTTTCTTCCCATAGCATTGGTGTTATAGTCTACAAATAAAACAGAAAGAGCATGTGAGTAAACACAAGTTCAACACCCACCCATTTCTTTGACATATCTACTGTCTATGTTTCATAATCATTGTTGATAACAAAATTATATAGTATATAGCTACAAATTTTTTGTAAACATATATTAATTTAGGTGCCCTAATTACCCCATACAAGAATGAATATTATAATTTTGACATAAAAAGTTACCTGTATTTACTGGTTGTCCTATAGCATCTATAACAATAGCTGGTGTAATTAATACAGGATCTATAGCTGAACAGTTTTTAATATCTGATGATATTATGGTTGATAAACCAGCTTTATTAAATATTCGTATAGCTAATCTTCTACATTCACTAAAATCAACTTCACCATCTAAATTGATTGTAAACTGAAACTAAGACAACAAAAGATATCTAAAATCTTGAATACAGACTACTTTTTGATAAAAAAGCATTTTGTTCTTCAAATTATTCAAATTGATCAATTCTAAATCAAATTATAGCTATTTAGAGCTTGCATTGGTTACTATTGATTTCACACCACCATCTTTATGTATCTTTGGCATATATAGAAATAATAAATTCTCTATCTTTGTGTGCAAGGTAGCTAATCATCATACTTCATGAAGGCTTTTGTACTCATGTGTGTTTAATTACATGTACATAATAAAAAAAACATTTTTAACATCAAGGTAGAGTATTTATAATGTCATTGAAGTTATCTGGGATATTGTAATATTTTTCAAAAGCTGTGACTACCATTTACTAATTGTGCGGTAAGTTCCTGATACAATGTCCAAATAATCCAACTTTAAAATGTAGCTAAAAATTATGATATTCTTTAGCATAAAATAGACTTTTACCTGTGTCTCACTGAGCTTCTGAACACCATTCACCTTGTTCCATTTAGTAAATAAGTGACTACTGTGTTTATTATCTGTTAAACTCCACATATATTTATCTATGGAAGATTCAACGGAACAAGCTTTATCCTCTGTGTTACTCTGGTAAGTCAAGCCAACTTCCAACTGAAAAACCAAAATTTCAGGAATATCATCTTTATGATTTTGACACTTTTCAATATCCTTAAAGTGAAAATGAAACTATACACAGATTCAATATTTCTAGTTTTTAAATTATTCATCTATCCAACACAACATGAGTTCTACAACTCAATTCAATGTGAAAATGAGGGATGTCATGAATTAAAGGAGCATTAGGCAAGATTAGATAAAGAGCTGACAGTTCTCGCTATAATAGTTTAAAAAAAATAATGAAAACAAAATATGCTGAAAATTTCAGTCAAATTGCTTCACTCTGAACCGAGATATTAGCGTTTGAATTTTAGACTAGCCTCAATCATCATTACTAATGTCGGTATGATAAAAAACAAAGTCTCGATTATCCATTTTAACACTTAATTATTTTCAAAAAATGTATTCTAATCTGCTAAATATCGCAGACTAGCGATGACATCGAGAGTTGATTATGGTCTGGATAAGTTAATTAATGTCTAATTCAGTCCTACACACAAACCAGGTTTTGGCCAAATCCAGCCCGATAAGGACTATCTGGTGTATATTGTTAACTGTCATCAACTGTCGTTAATAATTACTGGAAGCAGTCATATAAGGTGGATATTTGATACCATATCCCTTCTGGTGTTTACAGGAATTTCAACTGTGTGACCCCATAAAGGCTTACTGGGTTCTTATGAAGTAAAATAAGCTATTTATATCTAGATCAGAATTTTATTTAACAGCATTAACAATACATAGAGAAAAATACTACATATACAGTAAAAGTATCTTATTATTTTTATTTAATACATTTATAGAGAGCAAATTTCACCAAAATGTTCAGATGAGTTTAATAATTATAAAGTAAAAATACAATTTTGTGATTAAAAAAGCTAAAAATATGTATAAATTCAATTATGAATTGATCTTCAAAAACTAAGCAAGATTAATTGTATATTAAGTATATTAACATGAAGATCCAGTAGATTGATCAACACTGTAATTATTGAAATATTACCACAGTACTAGAACATGCATTTAACATAATAAACTTACAATTGATATGCACGTAAAAAGGATCCAAAAACGTTGCAGGTTATATGCATTAACTAAATATTCATTATTTTTATTTGGAATAAGATTAAATGATAATGAATTTTGATTTTTGTAATACAGGATTTATTGTATTCTAAAAATAGATATTTCTTTCCATGTACATCTACGAAGAGAATAAGGTAATTCACATAATGAAACCACAGAAAAAAAATACTATTTCATCTCATTTCACTCTAGATCAAAACATGACCGGTATTGAAATTTATTACTTGTAATACATGTCGACATAATACATTTTCAATGTGGTAAGATACCAATTACCAGATTAGTTAATTATAAGTCAGTTATATCTCTTAGTCTCCCCAAACTCAGCAGAAAAAGTGGGGGGGGGCATGAATCAATCACCTCAAACAATTGTCAGCAACCATATACAACATAAAAAAAGCAATATGTATCCAGTAGTTTTACAATTCTCTGAAATATGAAAAATATCTTTGAAAAACATTATTTTGGGTTCTGGAGGGAATGGACATGTACCATAGATAATTTTTGTTATTTTGGTAACTTTTTTTTAGGCGTAGATGTTAGCTGCCTTTTTCGTCTTTGACCTTTCTGTGGTGTTTCGTTTGTTTTTTTTCGCTTCACCCCTTCATTGCTTTTTAAAATTGAATCTAATGCCATGAAGGCATCCGGTCCAAAGTCATATTCCACTTCTCCAGTAGCTGACTTTTTAAGACATGGCAGCGACATGAAATCCGGTAAATCAGCACTGTGGTCACCAGCAGTTAACAGATAATCAATCTGGAGTTGAATCAGATTGGCTAAGCGGTGAATGGCGGTGGTAGGTGGCATCCAGTTATCCGCGTTACTTAGTTGTAGACCATCGGTTGAACTAATACTTTGCAATTTCTTCTTTCTTTCCCTAGTTATTCTGCGAACATCTTCAGATGTTACACTTTCCGGATTTAGTTTTTTGGGACAGTAAAGATTCTTAATAAATTCCTCAAAGATATCTGGATTAATCTTGATTTGAGTTGTACACTCTATAAGAGAGGAAAGAAAGTGGTCATTGTATACATACATTTTTAATATTTTATCGTGTGATTTCCCTTTTATTTTGGGAATAAAGTCATTGCCACCAAGACAAAGGCCAATGGGTACTTTGATCCCTATCAACTTAGAGTTGAAGGTTTTTTCTAAAGTTTCCAGAATCAGGGTGATATTAAATATGTCATATTTTTTCTGGGGCTTTTGGAGTATAACATACACATCATTTTTGAAATGTCTATTTTCTTCCCTTGGCCAATGTCTGGCAACAGCGAAAAGGTGAATTATGACTGCATCTATGTCACCTGACGTTACAAAGCTGACAATAGTATCACCCGACTCGAGTTTGTCTTTGCACCCAATAAGCCAATCCACTTGGGACATTTCTGCTTCGCCCTTCTTTTGGTGAATATCAGTTAGGTTGGTTATCTGGCATGGTGTCTGGTCAGGAGTGAATTGGCAGCGAATGGGAATCGCATACTGATTACAATTGCAAGCGCCTCTACAAATGCAACTAGTTGCCATTTCGCTGTCAATATCTACAGTTATTTCACGTGGCAGTTTTAACTTCTGGATATTTGATGCTAAATAGTTGCTGATCATAGATTTGCCGACATCAGTACCAGTTATTGCATCACGTTGAAAAGTATGTTGATTCAGGATATCATCTGCACTTTTTAAATGCACAACTGATACACCAGGGTTTTTCTTTCTTTGCCGTCTTGTACCGGCCTTGAAATTGTCTGGTGTAAACGAATATTTTTCTTCACACACAATCACTCTCTCCAAAGCAGTCATTTGTTTAATAATTGGACACAGGACTGCATTCTGGACATAGTATAGATATTGGGATCCGGTAACAACTTTGGTCTTAAATTTGACTCCAGCAAATTCAATTGTAACAATCTTTACCCTTTTTGTCAGCCAACCAGGTAATAATTTTGATGCTGTTGTAATACAGTTGTTTATTTCCTGTGGGTTACAAAACTCTAATAGATTTGCCAATGCCAGTTTCATGGAAGAGGATTTCTGTACTTTTGGTTTGCTACAGTCTGGTTTAACAAGAGATTGACACATGTTCATATCAGAGCTCAACCGATCTGTTTGCTTTAGAGCATTTGATAGTAACTTGGATCTTTTGTCTTCTTTCAATTGTCGTTCTGATTTGTGTGCGATTTTCGTTTGCTTTACTACTCGTTTGATGGTAACACTTACATTTTTATTTAAGCGCAATTTCAAATTTATTGGTCCTGAAACATCTTCCAATTTGGGGGAATCTGTAGCAGAGAGTTGAAATAGATTGTCTTTGCATATGAATCGTTGAATAAGATATTTTCCAATTTCCTTTGTATCATCATCTAGGATCTCACGGGACAGCACACCCTTGTCAATGGCATACACATTGCGTGGAATATTGCAGGGGTGTGTTGAGAGTGCATCTTGTCTTAGAATAACCTCTGTGACTCGAAAAATATGTTTCATGTCTGTCTCAGTGAAGTTCCAAGATACACCATAAGAATCACTGTCGCTCTGTTGAACAGCATGAACAGCGTTGAATGAATCAATGAGTGACATTCTTCGTACAGCTGATTCTTGGGAAGATCCAGAGCGGAATCCCTTTAATGCGTCTTTATGGTCCATTTCGCGTTTGGTGTCACATGCAAAGTTTACCTGGCTATTTCCGATAGGAGTAGAGAACAGACATTTTTTCAAATTCTGGTGAAAGATCCCTGCTGTATAATGCTCTGTCAATAAGCGAGTACAATAGGGTGCATAAGAACTAGCTCCATTTAAGAATGAAAACCACAAAGATGACTTTACCGCTCCCAATAACAGACTGTATCCATTCTCACCGCCAAGACGTTCTGCTAGTTTCACAGCTACAACTTCATTACAATGTATCATCATATCATAATGGAGAGCAAAAGTAGCATTTATTTTTCTCATTGTAACCATAAATTCGTCAAACTTATTATTCCATTTCTGGGCTGTCTCAATAGGAGTTTGATTTAGTTCATTCTCAACAAATAACTGTGCATCCGTGCTTGGTAGGTATTGAATAAATTTAAGTGTAAAAGCAAACTGAAGAGATTGAGAGAGCCTTCTAATATGCCGTGTAGCAGTATCAATGTGTTCAGTAGTTATCAATTTTGACCATTCTGTAGTTGTTTCGTCACGCATGACCATCAATAATTCCACCAATCCTGCATAGCGATATGCACTAAACAAAGTATTTCTGAGATGAAGGAGTGGAAACTCGGGCAAAAATTTCTCATATTTTTTATTTTCCTTAATAAGGGACAGCAAATTAATACCAATTTTATTGTCTGGGCCAAAGAGAATTCTATCGAAAGAAACCGACTCGCTTTCAGTGTTTTTATCCATTCCAGCTTTTACAAGAATATCATCTAAGATTTCTCTTAGCTTATTGATATCATCATCTCTTCCACTTGCTGGGGGTGGATGCCTTGTAAGTAATGGAGGTGTGGTAAATTTTTCAAAACCAAACATTGAAATTATAGACTGCTGCTCATGATCAGTTTCTTGAATCGTCAGTTGTTCCATGGATGTTTCTAAAAGGGAATCATCGAGGGTAATCCCAAGGTCCATAGAGTCATCTAAAATGTTACAGGTATCATGAACAATTTCGTGCAAATTATCGTCATTTGTGTACAATGGGTAATTTGAGGACAAACCAACTGGAGATATCTGAAACACAAAAATAATGATTTTTAGAAAGTATATTAATACAAACTAGATTTTAAATCTTTGCAGTGTGAAATATTTTGAGTGGGGCTGTGTGGAATAGAACTGACTTAAACATTGCTTCCACACATTCATCATTTTGAAATAAGATAGGTATGGTGAAATGTTACCTGGATTATAGGAATAGGGGATGAATCGTCTGGTGACTTCAGTTCTTCAACTGGTTCAACAGGTTTCAATGATGTACATTTTGGCACCATCTCTTGGCTGAATACAATGGCTTCTTGAATGAACTTGTTTAGCCATGATGTCTTTGGAAATGTACAAGTGGTATCTGAAAATGTGTAAGATATTTATACTAGCTGTAGGAAGAACTAATAGGATTGTCATTGTCATCTGTCAAGAAAAAATAAATTTTGAAAGTAAAACCCTCATTAACTGCAAGTTTACAGGATCATATTCATATTTCTCTTGTTACCCAAATTTGTAACTCGGCCTATTCTTCAAATACAAAAAAAAAACATTCTTGAATGTAGACCTTCAGTTAAAGAAAATTGTTTCATGTACCTGGGCCCTAAACCGTTGTATACAATGGTATACTTTTCTAAAGAAAGGCTAAATATCCATTATTTATAGCTCAAGGAACAATTCTTTTCTTTTCAAATTTGCCAGATTGTTGATGTTAATGCACAGTAATAATCTTACCTTGTAACATTCTCCAAAGGCTATTATTTCCCCATCTACATATGTTGTTAAATATTTCTAAACTGCTTTCCTCTGAATGTGAAAGATTCAAAATGGTATCAAAAGCCTCTTCTTTGCTCAAAAATAGCCGCTTTTTACATGAGCAGTGTTGTGATCCATCACAGATATTCACATCATGCCAGTTTTCTGTTGCTTTAGAGTCTTTTGGCAACCCCTGGAGTGTTATTGGTAGCATGCACAGTTGTTTTGAGCGATGTTCTCCAGGATCGGGATCACTGTGATACTTCAGACGTACAAGATTATCCAACATCAAAATCAAGTGACACTGCCTAAGGCTAACCATTTGAGTCACATTACCAGCAAGAGTATCATATGTAATAGGGTACTCCTTGATATAGGTCTGGTAGTAGAGCTGATCATCCATCGACTTTGAAATAAGGTTGTTTTCAGCAAATGTCAGTGATGTTGTAAATCCATATTTACTTGTGATATTGAAAAGCGTACTTATGCTGTGGTAGTTCATTAAAAGTTCGTCTGTTATTTTTTGTTGGAAAATTCCAATGAAATTTTTGTTAAATGTATTCAATAGAACTTCATATACAGAGTACAATCGTTCGTATTTTTTATTTAAGAAATTTTCAGACAAGTTCTTGTGGTAAAGACTATCTTTGTTAATGAACATTTCAAGAATAAGTTGCATTTCCAATGGTACATCCAAATGAAATTCCTGGAGAACGTCGAAATTGGTGACAGACAAAGGCTTGGGCAGTGATATATCAAAACATGACTGGCATCTTTCCATTATTCCGTTGACACAAATTTCTTCTGGAACTACATTTTCTTGTAAAACGTTGCATAAAAACAATATATGTGTACTTAATTTATTTAACCGGAGGTCGTCATAAAGACTAAATCTTGCAATATGACCATTTTTTTGCAGGTATGGTGTTAAAGAATTGGAATCAATGAACATAATATGATGACAATTCAACGAATGATATTTGTTGCATATGTTCAATATCATCTGTATTGTTAATTTATTGGTTGGTGCTTCACAGTTACTAGTACAGCCGACAATAATGTCAACTGTATCTAAAAATTCCTGGATACCAGGACACATACATTTTACGCATGTAACTGATTGTATTTCAACAGGAAATATTGTTGTGACTGCGTTGAAAATTTGAGATTCTACAATAGAAGGCCTATGTTTGTTGATTGTGGATAATTGTATTTCTTCACTAACAGCATTTGATGTTATCCTTTGACGTCTCAATTTAATAGTTTGTTGGGCACTTTTTACAACAGATTTGCTTAGGTTTTTAGCTTCTTTTAGTGATTTGAGATAGTCCCAACGCCTTTTAATACTATCACCTACAGGCTCACTGCACAAGCTTTGCGCAAAATGGTGCTCGAATAAACATATTCTTGACCATTCTTCATTTGTAAAAATAACTTTATATGAATGTTCAAGGAATGGAATTTTCAATTCATCAAGCTTCAGATATTTATGATCGTCCTTCCCAACAAGTAAATTTGATATTTCTTTGTAAAGATCTAATAGTGTACCTTGTAATTGAATTTTTGATGGTACCGAAGAGAAAAAATCTTTACTTATTTGGTTTCCAATGGAAAAACAATTTTCAAAGTCCTCGGAATGATTAAAAATATATTTTAGAATAGCCAAAGTACTTATGCATTCTGTGCCACCAACAACTTTGATATGTCCTCCCTGGTATCTTTCTACTTCTCGTTTAATGTTATATTTCTTCAATAATTTAATCCTATCCTTTTCTGATTGATTGTTCTTAAGATATATTATAAAGTCATCCAAAATAATCCACAATCTGGAATCATTATCATCTCTTCTCAGTGGCAATTCTCTTAATTTCAACATAATGAAATTCCAGTTTGAAAGGAACAGTACAATATAATATAAGCCGTCTGCTAGTATATCAAATGATACAATGAGCATTGGATATCTTTATATTATACAATATTAACATCGGTGTGAAATTTGATATTGTGTGCCAACATAGATAGCACATTCCTCCCACAACCAAAAAATATTGAAATACAATACATTTATAAAGATAAGATTCAGTGGGTCTATGGCCATGTGTTTTATAATAATGAGACAGTAGCTATAGGTGTTGACAGCATTAGAGATCTTACTGTAGCTCCATTGGAGCCAGAATTTTGGCTTGTGTGTAGGACTGAATTAGTAATTTAGATAACATTTCAGGCCTAAAGAAAGACATGCAATAGGCAGATATAGCTCTTGCATAATGTATGTTTAAAGAAATAAAAAATAAATCAAGAAACACTACTGCCATAGTTCCTTTTATTCAAAGGGGGAACCACAGTGGCTCAGTTGGCAAGACATTGGCTAGCTAACCTGGAGGTACCGTGTTCAATCCCTAAATTGGCCAAGAAAGTTCATAGGGATTTTCAGATGTGGTTCTCCAAGGTCAGTGGTGCAGGTCAGTGGGCCTGGCAAAGGACAACATATAGTTGTTTGGATAGGACAAAACACTGTGGTCCTGTGTACACATTGGAGTGCACGTAAAAGATCCCTTGGCATTTGGATGTCGATATAAGAGTAGGCCATTGTATGGTGAATGCCCGTCTTCATTAGCCCAGTTGAGCAGAACAGTAAGATGTTAAACAGCATTTCATTCATTTCTATTTAAAGAATTTAACCTGATGTAAGTTACCTGTGAACCTTGTATCTTTTTGTAGTCTACTTTCATTTTAGGTTTATCTGGCTCACTGAATATCGTTACACCATTACTGACCACAGGCTGAGAACAAACATCCCCTGAACAGAACTTCACACTACTTCGATATGTCTTACAATAATCCAGTGTCACTGTCTGGGAGATTCGACCAGAATTTGATAGAAAATTCTTATCAAGTACATTGCTCCATATATCATCTGTTAAACAAAATGTCAAATCAAATTAATCTCAGTTTATTGTAAATGATTGTTTGTAAAAATGATATTCGAAAGAGAAAAATCTGCTTAAATTAAACATCAAACTTTGAAATTACTAGACAATACAATGTATTAAGGGTAAAATAGTTATCTTTACCTGTATTTTTCTGTCTAACTTGTAAAGTCCATTTAACATCAGGATATATATGTTGATACTGATCTGATATCGCCCAGTGTGCCAGGTATATTGAGGTTGATATCTGGTAGTCAATATCAGATTTACAATTTCCTTCAATCTACAAAAATTATAATTACTACACTAACTTGTTTATCGCCTTTATTATTGTTAAAATTTTTAACATTATAACTCATGACATCAACTGGCAAACTATCGCCATTGATCATTTCTATTACGTTTTTCTGGTAAATCATTCATTTTTTTGTTTTTCATTTTGAGTGAAGCCTGTATCATTGCAGACCTGGGACTCTACTCTTCAGTGGATGCTTACAGCTGACTCCCTGATTAATTCACTTGATTTGATATATGTTGTTTATTTCTTGCAATGTCTGTGTAATTTGTCTTGTCCGCAAGTTTGGTTTTTTATGTAGTACAGTCGTCATGCACTTACTATTAATAGAAATGATTACCTTTAGCAATGATGCTAAAAAAAAGCTTTCTAGTTTAAATGAATAACTTTCCAAATTACAATAATATCATATCAGTTATAACTTTAGAAAGAACTGGATCGACATTAACATCACTAATGTATTAAGTCATCTTACCTGTTGTGCATGGTGGTTTGGCAGCCAGGCTAATTCATCATCTAATCAAAATAAACAAATGAAAGATTAATCTAGTTTGTGCATATCTTAATGGTAATCAACAGTATCAATTATATAACAGAGCTGTTTGTGGACAAAGGAACACTTCCAATGGCAGTAGTACAGACATTTAAAAAAGGGGGTCTCAACAGCTATCCCTGTGACATACTTTATTAGCTTCAAATCAGTTTTATATTTTTTAGTACATAATGTCAAAACACAGTATTTTTAGAAAATACATTGTAATTGCATTAAAAATAATTCTCAATTGCTCTTTAAATGGTAGTTTCTAAAAACTGAATTTAAAAGCAATGTGCACATGACCAAAATATCTAAGACATTAAGGATAGATTTGATGTAAAATTATGTTAAGTTACCTTGTTGATTACAACCAGGACCATCGTTTATCTGAACAGTAGTACTCAGATCAGAATCTTTTTTAACAATGGTGATACCATTTGATGATGCCTTTGTCATTCCAGCATCACTTTTAGCTGTTACTGTTACATAATATGTCTAAAAATAAATTCATTGATATAACAAATATTCAGGTAATCTACATCAATTCAAAAAGATTGAATGATAATTGCTGTCTCTTATAAGCACAGCTTTGAAAGTTTATGTTATAAATCAAACAGCCCTGGTCTGTTGTAACCAGACAACATATACAACTCTTATATCGTTAAGTCACCTGTATGACTTTTAAAGAGGTTGGGTTATGATTATGGCCTCAAGTGTTAAATTAGAGCAGAACTAAAACTGTTGGCATCAAAAATCGATCACTGTGAACAGAAGACCAGACAGGGGTCATGACAATATACTACCACATTAAAATATGGGCATATCAAACTTCTACATCTTTACCAACCTTGTGAAGTTCAAGACCAATTCCACGGAATGTATGCGTTGTTTTGATTCCAATATTTTCCTCTGCAATATCACTAAAATATGGTTTTGACCCAATGCCAACACTGTATGTAATGTGCTGGGCTAAATCATCAGACTCAAACCCAAACCATCTAGCAGTCAATTTACTGGTTGATAACTGGAAATCACTGTCTTCCAATTCCTTTAATATTAAGTATGTAACAAAACATCACATGTCACATTTTCATGTTTTATAATTAAGAAAATGAAGCATGCAAATACGAAAAATCATCAAACATTATGTTAAAACAAGTACATTGTATGTTGTTCAACACTTCCATTTCAGAATAAATTTACAAATAAATAATTCAGAAATAATGAAAAGAAATGAAATGGGTTTAACATACTGATTCAGAAATAACATGACATACTTCTATATATTTTCAAATTTTTTCGTGTGTATTTGATTGAGTCAAACTTACAGTAACACCAAATATCGCTGTTTCTTCAGGTTGGACAACTTCAAACACAACTCCTGTGGCTGGTTTTCTGGTATTATGAACATATGGTTTAGATGTGAACACACTGTATAATCCGACAATATTCTCTACTCTTATAGAAACATAGTAGGTAAAGCTGTGATGTAAATTCCAGTGAAGATCAACAAGAGTAAAGCCTGTACAAGATGGTGGTGTTGCTAGGTTACAGCTTACAGCTGATTTTAAGGGTGAATAAGGTAATACATCTTGAGCTCCGTCTGAACTCCCTGAAACATTATAGCAATGAAATCAACTAAGAGTTACAGTTAGATTCAAGAATCTGCATGAGGATATGCTGTCAGATTAATTTCATAGACTAGAATGGAAACACAATTTTTTCCTATCTTAATGATATCCTCCTTTAGGGTTAATTATGTTACCTAGTCAAACCAAAAACTTTTTGTTTGTTAAAAGTATAAAAATTCTTATATGTCTTGTATAACTGGTGATTATTAAAATAATGACACCAAAAAGACCTCCTTGATCTCTGTATCATATCCCCTAACTGCTTACATTCCCTGAATTCACAAATATAACCAGACACAATTTTTCGTGCCAAATTGGGAATTTTCCAATCTGATTAAAATACATATCTATATTTCGTTCTGTTTGTTTATACTTTCGATGGCCTACACTACATGAAGATCTGACTAGTTGTTTTGGGAGGTTGTGTCAAGAGGTCATACGAGCGGCTTTTGATCCTATGATGTCAGACATTTGATTTACCAATCAGCATTACCCACAGTTCTGTGCACCTCATGCCAAAAGCTCACCATAACAGACCGTTTCATTGGCTAATCCCTCACATCATCCAGAACATGTCAATGATAACAACCTTTCAAGATCCTAGTTTAGTACAGACAAGTAAAATGAAATTTTGGACTGTAAAAAATGAAATGAAATAGGATCTGTGTTTTGATCAGATTGGGAATTTTCAAGAAAATAGAGCATATTTTTGGGCAGTAATCAGGTTTTTCAGAATAAAGTACCTTTTTGATCAACTGTCATAGATAAATCATTTAGGTTGTATGGGTCCCACAAATATGATGCTTGAAACAAATGACATGATAACCAACCAATACCCGAATATATAAACCTACCAACAGCAGCAGTAAATTTTAGTTGTGTTGATTCAGGATCAGAAACAGTTTCTCCTGACCAATCAGCTTTGAGTATCCCATTTTCAAAATTAACGTTTACCTCCCCATTAAATGTTGGTGGAATAGTATGTACAATAATTGGACCTAGAACCTGAAAGAAAGTATTTAATTTATATAGTGACATTTTATACACAAAATATGAAAAAAAAACTACAATGTTATTTCAATTCACTTGTTCATATGCATTATCTGCAGTATGTATTCTTAGACATGGGGATACCAAAATAAAAACATGAATTTATATGTGGCTTGTTTTTATTTGGAAATATTATATTCAAGATCAGGTTTAGATTAATTTGTTGTCATTCTCAACATAACTTTAAACCAGAACATTAAAACAACATAACTTTGAATAAAGATTAAACCGGAATATTGACACAACATAACTTTGAATAAAGATTAAACCGGAACATTGACACAACATAACTTTGAATAAAGATTAAACCGGTACATTACAACACTATATTCTATCAACAATTTATATTTTTTTTAAAATTCAACCAACCCGGATTGTCTCTTTACCAGCTTTATTAGTAGCTTTAATACTGATGTAGAATTCAGTTCCATCACTAAGTTGTGGATGGTAACCTTGGTACCAAGAATGATGATGGGTGGAAGTAAATGGCAGAAGATCAGGAGCAGATACAGAACTTCTAGAAGACGCTAAACCAAATTCATAGTCATAAATTCCTATATTCTGCAGACTACCCTGAGCTGTCCAATTAACATAAATCTGAAAAGATAATAAATCTAAACTATAATGGTCAATCTATGTACACCAGTTGACATTTGTGGACAACGAGAAAAAATACTAGATGATCATGGTCCAAATGTCGCTTAGTAAGTAATTACATATGTTACAAAGAAGTGTGTCCTGTGTATATCCATATAAATTACTAACTATCATTTAAACAGTAATTGACTATATGTAATAAAATAAAGTACAGTCCCAGAAAGATGATGAATGTCATTGATCTTTATTCATGCAAATTATTCATACCAATGTCACAATCTGTACTTACATGAGAATGCATTGACAGATACATCTTGTACATAAATAAGTTTGACATAGGATCTTTTAAACAGAACATTTCAGCTGGGAAATGATGAATGCTCCCATTTGAAAATCTTTCATAGGGAAACAAATCAGCAACTTCTACACCTTGTGCTTTATTCCTGAAAATATATATTGATGATGTTCACGTTGTTATTATTGTCTCTAGAAGGCCTGACAGATGTACAGGACACTTTATAAATCATAGGTATTTGGTTATATCAACATATAATTAAGATTTCAGCTACCCGGTCAATTTGACATGCTTTTACAAACCAGACTAGTATTAGCTGCATATTATTGGTTGTAAATTGATCTCCAATCCTGATTTTACTTCAGAGCAACATCCTCTTGTTAACTCTGTTCAGTTCGTTTGAATCAAATTTTTAAAATAACGGTTTTCTCCTTGTGACAATTTTAAAATAATGGTGTTATACTTGTGATTCAACAAAAGTATGTTGAATTTTCAATTCAAATATAATAATATTTCTCCAAACCCCTGCACAGTATAAGTAAAAAAATATACTTACATACAAGCCGTATCCGGGTCTTTAAGTAGATATCTACGTCTAGTGTCTGATATGAAAGATACTTGATTATTTTCTTTAATTAAACCACCTTTAATTCTAGCACCTTCTATATCTATTTCCCTTATGGTAGGCAATGTTCTATCTACAACAACTCCATCAGAACAAACTGGTTTAGATACTTCTAAAGCTCGGTTATAAGCTACCACAGTGATATAGTATTTACCATCAGATGGTGCTGTCCATGAGGCATGGGTGGCTGTAGTCTGTTTTACATCCTGTACATAAACAGAGTTTATATGTTACACAATAAATGAACTTCTATGGTTATTTTCACCATGTGAGAGGGAGCCTTTCAAATTCCAACTGCCATAGGATATACATTATCATGTTTACTACAAATTTGTACACAGAACCGTGGATTTTACGTATCATTCGAATGAATAGAAACTTACCTTGTCTAAGTCTAAGAAGTGAACCAGATGTGAATTTTGTTATGGGTTAAATCTGCTCTATGGCACCGTTTGCAATCAGCATTATGCTTTCTCTTTGATTATTTTACTTGGCTTTCCTGTTATATACTCAGTTTCACTGTTTTTGACAATTTTTTGAGACTGGTGTGATGCTTTCTCTTTCTATATATTGCTTTTATTTTATTTGCTCTCAGTATGGCCCGATTTTGTACCAAAGCTACAAGTTGTATGCTGGCCCTTTTTTGCTCTGCAGGCAGTTGTGCACAAAGCAGGATATGAGTTCAGAAACTGTCTATGCTAATTTCATTTGATGGTTGTTTGTAATTTTATAAATGTTTGAAGTTAATCTTGAGACTATATTCTCTTTTATGAGTTTTTTTCAGAAATTTTATTATGATTTCAGATAAAAATCTACATGCACTTACATCTCTCCCTGCAAGATCCAAAGCAAATTTACTTGTATCTAAGCAAGTTTTACCAAAACCATATTGATAGAACTTAACCCCACTTTCTCTATCAAAGAAACCTTCCCAGTGGGTAAATATTTTTCTATCTTGCTGAAAGTCAACTTCCGGTGTACCATATTTTCCATCATGCACAGGTCCTTCATGAGGTGGGCTAGTATCAATTGTTATCTGAAGGGAACATAAAATGGTATTTACTTTATATATGTATCTTTCTTTAAACATACATTATGCAAGAGCTAAATCTGCCTATTTCAGGTCTTTCTTTAGGCCTGAAATGTTATCTAAATTATTAATCAAACATTAACTAACTTATCCAGACCATAATCAACTCTCGATGTCATCCCTAGCCTCAAATATTTACTGGATTAGGATCAGATTTGCTGCTTAACTTTCATTCATGATTTAATCATGAAATGGATAATCGAGACTATGTTTTTTATCGTACCGACTTTAGTAATGATCAATGCTTAGTCGAAAATTCAATCGCTAAATTCTCGGTTCAGAGTGGATCAATTTGACTGAAATTTTCAGCAAATTCCCTTTACATTTAACTATTATAGTAAGAACTGCCAGCTCTTTATCTAATCTCGCCATAATGTATTTTAAGAATTGTAATATCCCTGCAAAAAGGGAAGTTAATTCAATTTATTGATTGATAGAACAGATTTATTTAATCTCTTCGTGGACCTTTCTTGGAGGCAAGAGAACTACACAGGCTAATGAAACAATGAACCAAAATTATTAACTGATGCAACAATGGCTAAAAAGTTGGTTTTGATTTTAGGAAAAAGCAAACGGCCTTGACCAACAATAAACATCAACAATAATTACTAATACTGCTGTTGATCACTGGTTCAAGAATCTAATGGAATGCAAACCTTTTTAGTGACTGTTGTTTTTAATTTAGCTTGGTTCATCACTGTAATTACAATACGATAATCATGATCATGAGTACCAGCATTTTTATTGTTTAAGATGCCTTCACCAGCTGTAGTTGTTGTGCTTGGTTTAATTTGAAAATGGCGATGGTAACAACTGCCTAGTGGTATACAGTAACAGTTGTGTCCTCTAGCAGCTGATGCGTATTTAGTCTGGCATTCTTGAATTTTCTGGAAAATAGGAATATACTTTTCTGAAATGATTAAGTTGTTGTATTTTGTAGAAAATACAAAAGCAACAGATTTTCATTAAATAGACATTTTCAATACATTTTGTGACATGATATGAAACAATATCAACAATATTACTTTTAGTAGTCATTCCCTGAATCAATTAACTTGATTTAATAATAACGTGGGATTTACAGTCTTTATGTTTTCATCTAATTGTTTCTAACTATTATGTTACCGTAGTTTCTCCTTGTGGCGGAACATGTTGTGACCCATGTTCAATTTGAGTTAAATGATCTAATATCTTCCATTCAACAGTCTCTATACCACTATGATCATCATAGGCTACCCATTCGATACTGTAAAATATAAACATATCAATAATTTTATACTGTAAAATATATATCAATCATTCTATACTGTAAAATCTATGTACTTAATCTTTTATTAATTGATAATATCATGCATATCTATTACTAGCTGGATACCTAAGATCTGTAAGTTTGACCGTCATAAATCATGGCCTAAAACATTCACAGGGTCATGCTGGGTGGATCGCGGCAATGAAGCGTGATGGGTGAACATACACATAGATATCTTTGATTTTATTTATGAAGATATAGAGATGAGGGTATACATAGGCTATGCATGTTCCCCACTCAGAGAGAAAAAACTATATTGTTTATAAAATTTGTACTCATCAATATCATTATATTTGTACAGACAAATATATAATATCAATCACTGTGTTAATGTCAAAATCCATTATTATATACTATTAAATATATAATACAAAGGTATAAATATCATTTACAATGTCAATATTACACATTCTGTACCTTCAAATATAGAATACAAAAGTGACAACATATTCATACTAACAATTGGCAATAAAAGAATAAATGAACAAAAGTAACAATGTGAACTTACACTAATTTATCAAGCTCTTCAACTCCATGAACAGCCAGATCAACCTCATTTCCTTTTGTTAACCAGAGATTTTCAACTACAGGTGCTGTACTGTCGAAGTTAACATATATCATTTCCAATCTGAATTTACCCACAATATCGACAGCACTTACAGCATATGCCAAGGTATCCCCATCTTTCACATTTGGAGTTATTGTGACTGTTTGCTTTATTCCTATGTCCTTAAAACTACTATTAGGTAACTCAAGCATGGTGCTTCCACCTTTATGATCCGTTTTAAAAGCAGTAAGGAATTTGACAATACCTAAAAGAGTGAAGAAAATATACAAGGATTATAAATGAACCAATGTCCAGAAAAGACACCAAAAAAACCCAATCAGAAATAACTTGTACAGTACTGTTAACAAAGTAATTATTAGGAACATAAATCTATAAATGAATAAATGAACCTTGTTACCATAAATAGAAAATGAAATGAAAATAATATGGAGTTTAGCAGTGACTGGACTAATTAAGAAGGGACCATACATAGCAGTTAACAGACACGACTTGCAAACACATTTTCTTTCTATATATGTAATCTGGATAAGACATTTATTGTACTCAATTTTTTCATTAATGTTCTTCCATGTGACTCTTTTGGACTCAATTTTAAAAAAAAAAACAACTTTAGATCATGTACGTCCATCTTACCAAAGATGTGTCACAATAAAAAGCTAACAATATGTACCTTGAACATTATCAACAGCTTGTGTTGTTCTCGATCCATCATTATCATCATATTGAGACTCTACACCAGGTTCAGATTTAACTGCTGCTAGAAACCGACCATTGTGATGTACAGTGTTGATAAATCTATTAGTCCAACTGATTGTAACAGAATTTAAATTAGTCTGCCATTTGTAATTGGTAGAAGAAAGAGCAGACGTGGCTCTAAGAACACTTCCCTGTGTTGTGTTTACAGAAGATGAGTCATCAAATATAACCAATCGTCTGGCTTTCTTATAATTACCAGCTTTATCATAGGCTGATAAAATAACTGAATATACTGCTGTTTTAGGGAATGTAACAGATAAATCTCTCTGAAAACAAATAAAATGAAATGAAATGATATGAAATGGGATTTAACCTCCCTGAAAGAATTAAAGAAAATAACAACACTTATATAAATCTAGAACAACAATTATATAAATCTAGAACAACATTATACAAATCTATAGAACAACAATATATAAATCCATAACAACAATTGTGTAAATCTAGAACAGCAATGAAATAAATCTAGAGAACAACAATGACATAAATCAAGAACACCAATTGAATAAATCTAGAACAACAATTATATAAATCTACAGAACAACAATTATATCAATCTAGAACAACAATTCGTGTATCAAAAGAAAAATATGATATAAATAAATTTATTATTAATAAATGAAAGACATTTCAATTACTAATTAAAAATATCATATACACTAATCGAAAACATGCACACACTGCAAATATTATACAGTAATCGAAAATATTATACAATAATTGATCATATTATATGATAATTGATAATATTATACAATAATTGATAATATTACACAATAATTGTCAATATTATACACTAATCGAAAGTTATTACTCACAGAAGTTGTTCTTGAATCTATAATCCTTTGATTGGTTCCAAGCTCATTACCTACACGATGAAGTTCAAATAGTTCATATTCATAATCTTTTATTCCAGAATCAGTGTCATTCCATCCATCCCATGAAAACATTTTAGTGTTCTAAATATAAAATTCAGTGATTTGATCAAGTGTTGTGTAGCGTAATCTTGAAATTAAAGAGGGGGGGGGGGGTTAACGTCCACTTGACACAAACCAGGTCACTTCGGGACTAAAATATGGTTCAATTTTATTTCAATAATTCGCTTGCGTGTAGGGGTCTTTAACAGTAGGGGGAAACCGTAGTACCCGGAGAAAACCCACGAGGTTGGACAGGCGACCTTACTCCTTGTCACGTACAACCGGGTAATCGAAACCACGCCAGTTGACCTGAATGACATACCTTATGATACAGCACGCACGTGCTAAGCATTCGCCCCCCCCCCCTCGAGATTGTATCAAGCTAACAAAGTAATATTGAGGTGTAAGGGACTCCATCTGCTCGTCGCTGATATAATGAGGCCATGGTCTACTCAGTAACCTCCAGCTTCAGACATCCGGGTCTAAATCATTGGTCCTGTTAACCATAAGTGGTAAAGCGGATTTAGCATTTGGCAGGCAATGCCAGTCTCCCGTATTCGTAAATTACGGTTTATGTATTGACGTAACTAATCACAATGCAGGATATGTACTAGAAGTTGAACTTATGTTTTTTTTTATCTTATCACAGTAGTTGAACTTATTTTTTTTTTTTATAGAACTGCCCTGTTATTTTAACTTTTTATACGGACTGCTTACAAAGTTTGGAGAGATATTTGAATATATGCCTTAAATATACTATACAAGTCAGTTTAGTGCTTTTTATCTGGATTAGAATAAAAACGTTTGCTTACAGATCGAGACAAATCTACATCAGTCAGCATGGTTTTGGTACAGCCTAATTTAGGTTTACAATGGAAAGGATTAACGGTATCAAAGGTTATGCTAAATCTGCTTGTTTGAGATAAGCCTGTAAGATAACTTGTTTCCACCAATTTAGTTTCTTTATTTTCAATCTTGATAAAACCTCCATTGTTAGCAACCATTGAAAATTGTAGCCTGGAATTGGTGAAAATTGGAGTAGATTGTAAAAGTAGTTGTCAAAAAACCTATTATTGTCAATTTATCATAAAGATGTAACAGATTTCTTATAAAATTGAATAAAGATAGGCTACGAGGCAATGAAAGATCGCAGCAGCAACATCGTCCGGCAGTCCACGGGGGTTGTATTGTATTTTAGGTGATACAAAACACTAAACTCTCACCAAAAGTAACAACCTATTAAGTATTCATCAGGAATAATCAAAACTTGATTGGCCCCAATTTCTTCCTGGTGCTTACATATATTATTTACTGGTACTGAAATGATAAATTTAGCTATTCGAGCAATTGGCTTCGCATGTATACAAACACGAAGTATAAAATTCAAGTCAATTAGATCATAACGTCTTCTTCGTCTCAATTATCTATTTCAGGACCATCGAATGATAATTTTAGCCTCTAGCGCGCCTCCAAGATGTTTCAGATCGATCAATGGCAACATGTGTCTTCGACGCGTGACCTTAAACGCTGTGTATAAATGAAAAGTGAGTCAGGTGATGACCTTAGCCTCTAGAGCGGACGGATGGATGGAAAACTGATAAATTTAGCCTCTAGAGCGGACGGATGGATGGAAATGTGATAAATACTTGTTAAAAGAATAAAACATACCATTCTCTGTGTACAAAGGGCGGAGATAACTGCCCAAAGTTTGTTAACGTCTGTGCACAGGTAAAGGCTCCTTGGTTTGGATTTGTCTTGTTGGCACCACGACAGGAAATGTCCATATATTTTCTTGCATATCTGCCGACTAAGAAAAAGACAGTTTGCTAGATAATGTATTGAAACATTAACACTTTATAATCCCTTCCCTAATCTAGACATCAGGATGTTATTAAACACTGATAGCTGTCATGATTAACGAAAAATAACGTGTAGCAAATTTTCATATCAAAATATTGAACCATTTCGAAATGTATCGGGGATTTCTCTTTTATGGATGGTATGAAGTAACTGTCCTCTCAAAACTAGACAACACAATCTGTTTAATTAATTTCATGTGGGTTGTTTTGGCGTCAAGATCTAGATGAACCAATTCCCGTTTCCCTTTTGACCTAAACATTTACCTTTGAAAACCAAACGGGATATTGGCTTAACCTACGATTGTACAATTTAAACTGTGGAAAGATATCCGTTGCACGGAAAAAATCAACATCGTAAATATAACCAGATAGGCGACCAGGTTTGTCACCCAAAGATAAACAGAACGAAGGAAAGAATTGTGAGAAGGACATTGGGACTGGTAAAATATCAGATTTTAAAGCTTTTACCCCTTGCAATCTGTAAACTACCACCAATAATACCAACTTTAAAATCATTGATATATGCTTGACGAGAAGGTACTTGAGGTTGGTATTCAGCAGTAAATCTATAATTAAGACTGGTGGGGTTAACATTGTTGGTCCATACAGTATCTTGACTTGATGCTTTATTAGTATTAGGTGGAGCATCAGTTTTTTCTCCAGTACTGGCTGTCAAAGTTGCAATATTCTCCAAAATAGTTGGTCTCGCCGTAACTATAAAGATATTTTACAAATCATATAAATTAGGCTATTTAATATTAATGATGCCATCGCATTTTATGAATTTTGTCATCAACACGGAGACAGTATTACCCCTGTTGTGGTCACGTGCTGCCATTTGTTAACTTGCATTCCAATCAGCATGATGTTCTATGAGCTCCATGAATATTATGTTAACATTTATGTCTAATGAAGATAACATACCATACTATCCGATTAAACTGTCTATTCATTAAATGTGATCAACCCATATTCAGTGGCGTGTAGGATGTATTGCATGGATTTACTACAATATGTTGTCTTAATTAAAATTTAGATCAGTTTTCTTTCAATTTTAGCATGTATTGCATGGATTTATTAACTATTTGATGATTACTACATTGTGTTGCCTTAATTAAAATTTACATCCGAACTATTATTAGACCAAATCTGTAATTCACCCACATAGGAGACTACTTCCAGTTTATTGGGAAGAGTCGAAAATATTTGACCAATCTCGCATCCCTTTCCATCGCCCCCTAATTATCAAAACTAATCTTCAGTTGATGTTATCTTGACAAATTAGACATTAAATTAACATTTGAATTGGATTTAGGACATTAATAACATAAATGTTAATGTTGCTGATGTTATCAAATATGCTATATGAATAAAAAAAATAAAATAAATATATGAGGTATATGATGTCAGTGAAAATTGGTGGTGATGGGCAAACAATAAATTGTCTATTTAACACTTACTCCTGTCACATTTTGTTCCAGTAAACCCTGATGTACACCTGCAGCTACTTGCAAGTTCTGTTGGGCAGCTTCCTGGATAACATGGGGTACTACTAGACCGCCATGAACACGCCTCTGAAATAATTAGATTTATTTGTTTATTTTTATTCTAGTTATACTCAATTTCTTGAAAAGTCATAAATTTAACAGAACTAAATCGCTTCAATAATTAAGGATGACAAAAGTAATCTAGTATTGTATGAGTAAGTATCAACCAACCAGTTGAGCTGTATAGACAAAAATCATTGAAAGCAAGTAGGAGTAATGTCATGTGCATTTGAAGTTACTAGTTTACTACAAACATATGACGGCAATTTTCAAATGTAGCGATACTTTTTTAATCTCTCATCTGGTCTTTTTAAGTTACTGGACAAACGATCATTTCTTTCTATAATTACAAAGTCGGTGGTAATACCGAGATGTTATTGAGTATTACATACAGCTCACATTAAGAGTGTAAAATAGTCTAATTCACATTTTTCAAAATCTTGAATAAATACTTCATATGGACATATTTGAGGCTTTGTCTCTTGTGTTATATTCCATGATTCAGTGTTTCAAGTTTTCTGGACTAATTTTTACTTATACTATCATAATCTGAAAAGTTTTATCATCGTGTTGTGTTTTACTTGTTTAATGTAGATAGCCAGTAAAAACTAGACATGGCAGGGTTATATTCTGCTTTAAAGGAATAACAAATAAAAATAGTTAAGACATTTGTTATCTTTTAAATATTTTGTAAAGACTAAGAATATTATTTTATTATTATCTTGAACCATGTGGCTTTTGTCCCCAAAATACATTTAGGATCGCACAGCCCGCATCCCCTTAAAGCAACTCCATTGTCCCAGGGACATTATATACGCTTATTTATCACATATTCCGCCAATATTAGCCCTACTCTCCTACAGCTCCTTCCCACACCCCATCTCGCAAAGCGAAACAGTAGTCCTAGGGCATGTTATACACTTATTTAGATATTTGCAGTGCTACGATTAAATGTTTTACTAATCTATAAGATGATCATAATTTATATCAACATTATCAAGTTTCCCTCTAATTTTAAGTATTGCTACTCCCAGCCCCCGACAAGTAGTCTTTTATTTAACTTTACTTTGAAATACTTACGGTTACATCTACGTCTATCGGAAGATACAACGTAAGCTCTATATCCAGCCCTCTCACTAACAACACCTTCACATCGAGAACATCTCTGGTTATACCCGTTTGTGCACGTTTCTAGATCGCAGTAGGAAATAGCCGAACACACTACATGTAGATTAAAAATAATAATATTAATCTGCATGTATCAATAGACAAATCCTGTGATGATTGGTGTAGTGAACGACTAGTACAAGACATGATATGCTTAGCATTTCTAGATCACCCACTACGTCGTCGCAACATCGACCTCCTAGGTAATGCACCAGCTCCTCGCACACTGAGCCACCGTGGCTCCAAAGATTTGCATTAATACCAGGAATAATTGAACTGGAGCTATGAATATTATTGCTAGATATAATACTAGGGTGCCATACATGCAGTCAATAATCTTGTATACTTACTGCCACATGTAGATCCACTTGAATAAAATCCTTTAGGACAACTACACCGATTAGGTGAAACACATGTACCTTGTACGTTTCTTTGAAGAATACCATTACTATATTTTATGTGTGAGTTAGAAAAATAGTTATCACAGGCTGCTGGGTCAATCTTTCCTCCACATACAGCTGTAAATAGTAAAACCCATAATATATGCTTCTACTTTAATGCACATTATTCTGGTAAAATACACCCTAAACTTGTCCTAATCAAAGACACCTAGTCACAGACACTTCTTGATTAGCTCGAACTGGGATGTATATGTTCAAGATTACTGGGGTTTCTTTACTATATTAATATTTTTATTGGTGATATTTTGAAATAGTGTTTACCGTGATCACATGCTAACCCAGAACTAACAGATCTCCACCCACTGCAACAAACGCCCTTACTCCTGTATCTCGTTCTGAAACAAAAAACTAACAAAAATATAATAAATTCTATAATGAAAGCTCTGTTTAAAGTATCCGAGAATTCCTATAAGTGTGCACGAGACAATATACCGATAGTAACAACGCATAATTTATATAACTGGCTAAGCTGATAATACCATCTACGTAAGTAACAGGCTACATACTGGCTGTTGTGTTCGATGTCAATATGTGATGGGTGGTGTATTTGATCAAATTCACTGTCACTAGTTGTGTGTGCGACCCGTTATTTGATATCCTCATCTGAATATGTGCAGTTACTTAAATTCCATAGAAACCGAGAACGTGAACCTTTCCTACGGACGTGGGATCGCCTCAAGATGTATATGATAACACATATTACTATAAAGAACTTGCTTGTTAAAATTATTTATTTCCATTACCTGTATCTTGTGCATCGAGACCAACCGAACAAGCCACATGATGTTGAGGTTTTAGCTTTGTATGCCTGCTGAATTGTGCATACATGGCTGGGAACAGTTGCAACCCTTCAAGTACAAGTATACAAAAGTTAATTTAATATGTCAGTTAAAAGAAGAAAGAAATTCATCAGAATGTTACCGAAGTTAACAACCCTACCGAAATTAAATAATGTACCATTAATTGTTTTATTTTAATGGGTTAGATTTTGGCTAATATTTTCATATGAAAACTTGAGAACACTAATATCCCCTGTTCTCCACATATTGTTCATTAAAGCGTCATTATGTAATATTAGATAAAGATCTGACAGTTTTCGCTAGAATATGTAAAAATAGACAACGAAAAGAGAATAATTCTGAAAATTTCATTCAAATTACTTCACCCTTACACTGAAAAAAAACTTGTGTTGAAACAACACAAACTTGTGTTATTTTCAACACAAGTTAGGTGTCTCTATTTAACAACACAATCTTGTGTTAAATGCTGAAACAACACAAAACTTGTGTTAAATGTTGAAACAACACAAAACTTGTGTTAAATGTTGAAACAACACAAAACTTGTGTTAAATGTTGAAACAACACAAAACTTGTGTGAAAATCTACACATTATTTGTGTTGAAATTTCTGAAACTTGTTTGTGTTGAAATTTCTGAAACTCGTGTTGTTTCGTACAAACTTGTGTATAACAAAAACCTGTGTTGTATTTTACCAATTTATATCCAGTATAGCAACCTTTCGAATGCAACCCCTTCCATTCGTTCTGTTTAAACTGTAATTACTGATAAATGACATAATAATTTTGTTTGTTAAATTATTATTTATTCAATAAATGATATGAAAAAATAAATTAATGCCTAATTAATACCAATACAGACATCTCGAAGGTTAATAAACAAAGTTAATTCCAATACTAATAAAATTGTGTTATACAATGAAAAAATACCCCCACCCCCCCATTCCCAATTATTAAATAAAAAGTAGCTATTTAAATTGAAAAATAAAGCACCGAGACATTTGGAATATTAATCAACAAAGTTAATTTCAATACTAATAAAATTGTGTTCAATAGTAACAATATCCCCCCACCCCTCAAAAAAAGCTATTTAATTTTTTTTTACAATTAACTGAGAATATAATATATATGTTCACAATATCCCTACCCCATGGTCCCAAAACATACATTTTAAATATATCTAAATTTAATATCAACCAAACCAAGCACTAAAGACATTAATAATGCACTAATGCACTATTTAATTTTTTTTTACAATTAACTGAGAATATAATATATATGTTCACAATATCCCTACCCCATGGTCCCAAAACATACATTTTAAATATATCTAAATTTAATATCAACCAAACCAAGCACTAAAGACATTAATAATGCACTAAATTGAAATACTTTTAAGAAAAAAAAGTCCCTTTAACAGATTAGGAATTCAAAATTTTCTACAGTATATAAATGGGAACTAATAGATAAAGCACAGGCAAATAATTATAGATAGATAAAATAAATATAGCATAAAAATCAAACAAAATGGAGAAAATTAAAAATTTGTAAAACAAAAATTGATTAATTAATAAAACCATTTTATATAAAAGAGGCATTAACATTCGAAATGTTCACTAAATGTTTAAAAATAAAGGTTGATTTCATCCTACAATAATACATTTTTATAATTATCGAATGTTACTATTAATTATTGATGATCCCTCTATATTATTTCAAGTTTTCAGGCCAAATCTTTAGTGTTTAGGATTACACTGAATTCTATATAATGAAACAATATTAGAGATGGTTTGGTGTTTGACATTAAAAACAAAAATGTGATTAAAAAGGCAATATAACTTTTGGGTTTCCACAATAAGATCTGTAAAAGAATTTGATGACTTTATATTCAGAATTTAGAGTTGTTTTCTTTCTTTGGTATTAATATTCACTAAATAGATATAATTCTCCAAGGATGTTCAAGTGATTATTATAAATACACTTATCGACAAATGGGGTTTTGATGTGGATTTAACTTGGTACACCAGTCATGGGTATAGAGTTATTTAGGGGGCGGGGGAGTTGAAAAGAGCATAATTTAACAATATATTATATTATTTTGAGACTCATATGTATGACTACATGCGAATGCAAAAGGCGGGGGGGGGGGGGTATTTTAGTCAGGTAGCATTATTGCTTACTCATATACACCAAAAACACGTCATATCGCCTAAACAGATGTTTTACGCCAAAACGCTTCAACTTGATTGATTGCCATGTTTTTGGTGTATATTTATATCTTTTCTTGGGCGCCGAATCGAACTACGGCTTTTAAAATGTTCCAAAATCGACGTAAATTGATTTTTTCAACGTTAGTTTGTATACAACGATGAGCACATGAGTGAGTAGACTGTGGGAAAGTTACGACAACTCATTTCCAGGCGCCATTTTGGGTCCCAATTATGACGCCATAAAAGCTATGACGTCATGGCTTCATACAGGTTTACATACCAAAATTTGTTTTTTTCTTGCAGTATTAGACGTTGAGGGATAATATAACGTTTTACCCTAAAAAAAAATGCAAAAGAAACCAATGCAGTTTGGTTCAGTGATAAATATATCAAACAAAATCATACCCAAAATCGGGGAATTTTCTGAGAATGATATCTCGTAATCAGTGTGTTTTACTATTTACTCGTTGGATTATAAATGATTTCTTTTTAAATTCCTCAAACACAGAGTGATTATGAAAGCGAAATGTGCCGAAAAATCGAATTTGACAAACGTCAAATTAAAAAAAAGAAGTATTTGTTATATGGTGCCGGGCGTTTCTTTCATAATGGCCACCAAATTTGGTAATATTATTATTATTATTATTATTACAGCATATTTATAGCGCGCCCTTTCATAAAACATGTTCAGGGGCACTCTACAAAGTGACAATGTAATCATAAATAAACAACAAGATTATGGACATGTTAACAATTGTATACAGAGTCAGTTAAAAGCCTCATTAAATAAATGTGATTTAAGTTGTTTTTTAAAAGAATATAGAGATGTACAACATCTTAAACTAAATGGTAGATTATCCCATAAAACAGGTGCTTGATAACTAAAAGAGACTAGTTGAACAGTTTTGGGCTTTAAAAATAGTTTATCTGATGTACGTAATGTTCGACCATTATATCGTGGTTATGTACGCGAAATGTGCGGAAATCGAATTTGACAAACATCAATTAAAGAAATGTATTTTCCATGTGGTGCCGGGCATTTCTTTTAAAAGGGCTACCGAATTTGGTAATACATGTATAAGGCAATTTAACAAAAAAAACATAAATTTGGTAGACTAAAAGGGCATCTCTTAAGATACGTAAGATATGACTTTTGCAATGTCCTTTATATGGTTTTCGATGTCTCTGAATTTGAAGATAAATTTTGAAAATACAAAATAGCAGCAACACCAATTGGCGGATATTAAATTATCGTCATTTTTCCTGTTGGATATTAGATAGTGTCTCTTAAGCATGATGTACACTGTAGTTCGATGTACCCTTTAGTTCAGATATAGTCTCCAAACCGTGTTTACACTGACTGTAGTTTGGGTGTAGTTCGTCAAATGAAGATGAATTTTACGATACAAAAAAATGAATATATTGTAAACGCGCTTTAAATATCTGGATGCGATAGACTTCGTGATAAAAAATTCAAGGTACATTATATCATTGGCAATAATAAGATCCAATTTTAGTTTTTAGTTACACACTGTGAACCACCAATAGATGTTTTAATGACAATAAATCATAAAATGTATTCAGCTCGACGTAAGACATAAATAGATACAGTTGGTTTAACTTGAATAGAAGTTTTAATTATCTATGCTGCATATATATGCATATATCACCTTGATGTTCATATCGTCTTACGTATTTGTCAACATCAAGGTTAGTGCGATTTAGCTCCTTTAAAAGCGAATGCAAGTTAAATATGTTTAATCAGAGGCGGATTCAATGGGGGCGCGAGGGGCGCCCCCCCCCCCTAATTTTCAACAGTGCCCTTTTTTACGGCTGAAAGTGCCTTTTCTCAGACTCAAATATGTCGACTCAAACACACCAGTCTGGGAAATAGCTCTTGGAATGGCTACAGATGCAAGGAAATGACGGATAATTTTCTTGGGGACCCCCCCCCCTCAGCGGCAAGCCCCGTCTCCGCGGTCAATGCCTTCATTTTGCAGCACCCCCCCTTTTCAAAATTCCTAGATCCGCCCCTGGTTTAATAGTACTTTTATCTAGTGTATCTTTTATTTTGATTTTTCTTATAGAATAAGGCTATATAACAATAATGTGCGCTTCTTGTTGTATAATACTAATAATAGTATGTTCAGCTATACTTTTCGTTTAAAAAATGTATTTTTTTTGTCCTATATACACTTATTCGCTGAAATCTATGACATCCAACAATATAATAGGTCATATAAATAGATAATAAGTTTGCATGACGTCATATGAAATTCCTGGCTTCACAGTTGTCGCAACTTTATCTATACACGGCGTTGCGTCGACCAACCATGCAATGTGAAGTAGATGTCAATATGGTTATGTGCATAGGAGTACGAGCTAGGGGGGGGGGGGGGCTGGGAACCAAATGCTGGGAAAATTTGGGCACACAATTGTACTTTGTAAAAGTTGTATAAAAAAATATTGTGTTCTTGAATGTGTCCAATTTAACAGCGAATTTATTATTATTATGTAACATATTAAGAACCTAACTACATTTTTGGGGCACCAACCACCACCGCCCCCCAGTCAAAAATTTCCCCGTACGCCTATGGTTATGTGTAAGAATATTCAGTTCAATATACTCACGGTGTATGATTTTATTCATACTTCAATTTTAGTGAGTTACTTCTGCAACGTTTTTAGAAAAAATTGCTATTAATTTGGCCAGTACTGTAATAGCAAGTGTATAAATATTTTCTGTTCAGTCTGTACACAGTACCATATCTGAGAACCATATTATCATTTCTGCCCAAGGCTCCCTGTGATTTATAGTTAGCAGTGATACAAGGCAATTACCAATTTTCCGTGCTCTTGGCCTGAAGAAATAAAATAATAAAAGTCAAGTTTTTATTATTATGCAAGTGGAAAAATACAATTCTTCATGGTATGATTTGAATAAATACAACTGATTTGAAGTTGGAATTATTATTTGTCTAAGATGACTGGGCATTTACAAATTGAAATAGCTACTCTTCATCAAGAAAATACATGAATATTTTTCCCAATTCACCTGGATTTTATTGTAGGTCTTTGTACGTGAAATAGCTTTATTTAACGTCCGCTTCCACCGAAGTGGTATTGCAGAAAATTAACAAATTCGGATTCCCTTTTAAAGGAATTAGACTACACTATCGCTGGATTGTATTATATTCAAAATGGCGCCCAGAACACAAAACAAACATTGCAATTCAGGGCGGACTGGTGTCGAGGTTGTATCCTAAGAATGATTTTTTGAATATTTAATCAAACAGAAACACAATTATGCACATGCAGTTATGATATAATATTAAATTAGCTTACCTCAAATACCTCGAAATATACTGTTTGGTCAGTTTGTCCGCCCGCCATATTTCTATTAGTCACACATCCTTCGGCCAATTAAAATGGAGGTATATTTTGTTTTAACCGAAACGAAAAATTTGCGTTCTAAATACATTGTATTAAAAAATACCAAAATCACAAACCTGATATTCATATTTTCTGACAAACTTTTTTCACAACAATATCACTTTTTTCGATACTAATGCTTAATAATACAGTTAACATTTGCAGTACTACAGGGTTTAATACCGCAAAATTACTTCAATAAATATTTCTTTCTTTGTTTTAAGAGTAATTCATTTTAATTGGTCATTTACATGTAAGAATAAATTTCCAATTTCGATTAATGAACCAATTAAATTAAATAAAAAGATTAACTCGACTATTTCCACGCCCATTCAAACATTTTTTTAAAACGTAGATATAACACAATTGTTATTGTCTTTGATGTGTCAAGTTTATTGGGGCGATATCAATCAGACACTTCCAAATGCAGACATTGTAATAACCTGTCTCTGTATATTGTCTGAGACAAGATGTGAAAATAAACAAAGAGTAGAATCAGAATAATCTTTTATTATATCTAATTAAATAAATAGTTTATATTTAGATAATAATTGACTAAAACTTTGATCTCTTATATCAGTATACTGTTATAAAATACGTTGTTTTAAAAGAGATATTAAATGCATCGCACGATACAAACATTGCGATTTCTACTTAATGTTTGTAATAATTAATATATCCTTTTAGATAATTAGAAATATTAAAAAATAAATCAAGTGAATTACTCGACATTCAAATTCAGGAAGAGTGGCTTTACATATAGGCTAGTGATAAAGGAACATAATAAATGTTATCTTTAATGTCGACGTAATTAATTATATGGAAAAAAAACACATAAGATTTTATAAATGTACACAAGTTTGTGTTAAGACATTGAAAAAAACACAAACTTGTGTCATTGCAATGCAATACAACACAAACATGTGTTAAATATTTTTAACACAAGTTCTTGTGTTGAGATCCAACACAAGGGTTTTTTCAGTGTAGACTAGATATCGTTGATACAATTATAGCCTAGCCTCGATTGTCGTTGTTACGATAATAAATAAAGTTTTGATTATCCATTTTGACAGTAACCGCAAAAAGTTTTTAAATCTACATCGAGAGTTGATTATGGTCTTGGTAAGTTAATTAATGTCTAATTAATAATTTATATAACATTTCAGGCCTAAAGAAATATCCACAATGGGCAGATTTAGTTTACTAGATGATTATTTTATTTTTTGATAGTTTAAATGTTTATTTATGTCTTGATAGATTACATTTTTATTGTATTGTTTAATAGATGTTTATTTTATTTGGTTTAAACATATTTTATTACCATAAAGTAAAGGATTGGACAAAAGTTACATAAACCAATAAAAACATCCCTTCCTCCATAAGTACATGAAATTATTCAAGATAACAAAAGGTGCAAAATAAAGAAGAGATTTCTAGATTCCCACTGAAGAATAAATCTCAAGATTGACAAAAAGGATCACAAGAAATAATATCTGAGAATTATTCCAGACAAAATATCCAACGATTGCAAGAACTGTTGTTGTGGGGCTATTTAAAGCTTAAAGTAGCTAAGTCTCTTACTCAATACCAATCAAAGTCTTCGACAATGAAAACACAAATAAAATTATTTTTCAATTTAAATCAATATTGATGTTATGGTCTTACCCGGAAGGGATGGGCTTCGGATATCCAATATTTAAGACACAATAAACATTTTACCATCGGTACACGAAGCTTGTACCATAATGCCTTTCCACGCCATTTGTAACAAAAGAACTCGAAGAACGAGGCTTGACATATTCCACAAATCATGTCAAACGGTGACGGCATATTCTTATCTGGAGAGCATAACTTTCATCAAATGTTCAATCATATAAAATATAAATGTTTATTTAGATGAACTGAACTTATTGAACTTCAGCTGTTTTTGATAATAGTGGCTATTCACCTCTCTATGCACATATTCGCGTGTTTTCATTACAGACTTATAAATCACATATTTTACAGACTAGATATGACCTGTCTACATTTATACCATGCAGTAAACTCATAATGATGACCTTGTCTGTTTGTGAGACTCAATTCCTTATTTGAAGTTCGTAACCGTTCGTACATTTTCCGTGTTGTTGGATGCTATATAACCACGAGTTTACTGACAGTAAGACAGACGGAGGAGCAGAGAGAAGCAGAAATGAAATGGGGTTTAGCGTCCTGCTGTTCTGCTCCGAACTGGGCTAATGAAAACGGGCATACGTCATACAGTGTGGTATGAGGGAAATTTTGCCCGGACAGCGGCACTACGGCCTACTCTTATATCGAATTCCAACTGTCAAGGGATCTTTTACGTGCACGCCAATGTGTATACGGGACCACGGGTTTTCATACCCTCCGCCCTGCATCACTGACAAGAGGGAGCCACGCCGGAAAATAGGGGAGCAGAAACGAGCGTATGGACTTACCCAAATTCAGCCGCTGCCGTGGCAGTTGGGCGGAATCAAGGTTGTAGAGTAGCAATGTACCGTGTTTGTATTCTTATTTATGTTCCTGTTGTATTTATGTAGATGTTTCATATTCTGTTCCCGAAGTAAATGAATCCTGTATTTATGAAACTTAACTCTGTTATTACTACATACCTGTTTATGTCTTAAAATATATATATATATGATTAAACCAGTCAACAATATTCTTACCTGCCCCGGACTTTAAAAATATACAAAGCAACAACTAACAAGATTAATAATTTCAAGTACATGATCAGTGTATTTCTATCGTTTGAGAAGGCTATGCAAATGTGAATTTATTTAATGCACGGATCCCGGATGTATATTCAAGTTTGTTACTGTAATGTAAAAAATATGCGTTCATACAGCATTCTCCCTTTTTTGTTTTTTTTTCTCATAAGAATGTGAATCAAATGCATAGATGACGAGACCCTGAGGTCACCCGTCTTGGTGTCTAGTGTTTAGACATGGTTATATTGTTAGATGGCGTGTATGTATATAATATGCTAAATAATCGGTGGGGATATTGCTATAGCGTGTTGAAAATTTATTTAGTGTACGTTTGAAGCTATCGCGATTTTTGTACTCGAGACTGGGTAATATTGTAAATCCTGACTATTTTGTAAGGACTGTAGATCTATAGCCATACGTTCCCCTTTGTTCAGGTTATGTCGTATGGTTTCATTTTGTATTTTATGTTTCAGACCAGGGTGTTCGATTTAAATTTATCCAAATATCTGGTGTAAATATTTCTCAACAAGCGCTCTGAAAATGAAGGCATAATAATATGGCCATTTTCGTTCTTATAATGATTAATCGAGAAGGTGTATTAAAGGCTTGAACTGAAACCGCTAGCCACATAAGCGCTAGCCGACATTTTAATTTTCAAATATATATACACATTAATTTGTCAGTTATATACATGTATTAAACACACTCATTTGGTGCATCCTAACATAAAGAAACAAAACCCTTGAAAAAAACTTTATATTCAACATTTTGTGTAATTGAAATCGCTAAGAACATTGTATAATTTGACCAGAGAGAATGGCCATAGCAACCATTGTCAGACCAGCATTGAAATGAAATTTATTTATTATCTTTCAAATACACTGACGTATTATTATTAGTGTGTGTTTCAATATACCAATATAAGCAACATTTCGTGAAGATTCCAAATACCACTTTAGTTTCAATGGAATTTTATACATAAAAACGTTTTGGTATCCGTAGTTACCTAACTGTCGATCGGAAAATGAGTAGGATGTTAATTCCGAAATGACGTTTGGTCTGTAGTAGAAAGCGTACAGTTCGACGAAAATTCCAACTGAGAAAACGACAAGAATTAACATTAAACGGGAAGTACGAGCAGAAACGTTTTGTTTGTATCTCCTCCTACAGTTTTTATCCTATGGCCACTTTGACATGATTTGACATTTAAACTGATTTATGGGTTTCACCTTTACATGGAATGACATAATGACCCCCCTAAGAATTTGAGAATATATTTCGGAAGTTTTATCGGTCATTCATACTTATTTAATCAATTAATTCGAACGAAATTGCTCTGGAAGATAGAAGACGATGAGTGCTACATTGTGTCTCAAGAATTTTTCGGTTAAATGTCGAATTAAGGCAAATTGTTCGTGAGAATCATATTAAAATCCTCGGAGCTTTTTGAGAAAATGGCATGTAAACTTTGATAAACTTTAAAATGACCAGTTACCTTGTTTTCCTGGGTTTTTTTTTAATTCGCCAGAGTTATGGTTACTCTGCTAGTGGCCTTTGACCCCAAGGTCATCTACTGCCTGGAAGTCTCGGTTCTAAATTATGGTCCATACATTGATGTACATTTGGCAAAAGACTATGATGAATGTCATTTAGTGATGGTTTGTTGTAAGAATCGGAATCCGGTTTGTCTTCGATTATTCTGACCAGTCCATTTGCTTTAAAATCTAGATAAGACTACCCCGGAGGTATATACTCTCCTACTTATTTTTGTTTTTTTCCTGGCTTAGATAAGTTTGTGTTTAAAACAGATGAATAAAATGAGTGGCACTTGAAATATTTTAGTACCCGTCCTGGTATGTAGTTATGAATGCCCTTACAAATTGGGCTACTGGTAATCTTTACGGGACTTCATATACCACTACTTGGCTATGCTATTCGATTATCGAAAATTCCACGGTTAACTATTTAGGCATAATGATTGATAATCTCAAAAATACGAACAGCCAAATCATTGGATGGTAAAACAATGGATATATCTTGGAGAGATTTATTTATGTCACCATAGAAGAACTTGTACTATGAAGTCAGTTTAGGAACTTCTTTGAGGGAGCTGACGTTATACAATGGCTAGACCCAAGAATTACCTACCTTGTCGTAGTCTCATACATCTAAGATACCAAGAACATGTTTAACAATAACTGTTGTAGATCCATGTGGTCAGTTTCTACATTATACTCACACCATTGTACTTTAATAAATTACCACGATTATTTTTTTTAAAGGGGCATTATGTAACAATAGTTTAAAAAAATAGATAATAAAAGGGAATATTTTGAAGATTTCATTCAAATTACTTAACTCTGGGCAGAGCTATCGTCGTTAGAAGAACGGTGTAACCTTGATTATCATTGCTACTGTTGTTGCGATAAGTCTCGATTATCCCTTTTTACCTTAAATCATCAACCGCAAAACGTATTTAAATCTTTTGAGAATCTAAACTATACGGTGACATCGAGAGTTGACTACGATCTTGGTAATTAATTTTTTAATTAATAATTTATATAACATTAAAATCTAAGGCCTAGAGAAAGACCTGTGTGTACACCTGGGAGGCGACAATGTAGAAAAATGAAGGGAACCATCGACTTTGTACAACTCTTTCACAAATAGGCTTAGACCTTTTCAGCTCGCCCTTGAAGCTCAGAATATATAATTTGACTGAAATTTCCAAATTTTTCCCTTTCGTTATATATTTCGTAACTATTATATCGAAAACTGTCAACTCTTTATCTAAATCTTACATAATGCATCTTAAACATATAGGCTGCAGATCCTTGTGATCTAGATCAGGATGTTTACAAGTGTAATTACCCAATTTACTATAATATGTCAGTTTACATGAATTGAAGTAAGCATAACGTAACATTAACGTTGTCATGTTTAAGGTTAAAATTATGTCGTAGATTCTGCTCCATAAAGATCCCTGTGATTTGTTTCTATCATCATGTCACTTTTACCAGTGTTCTTTAGAATTCTAAGAATATTAAATAAAAAAAAAACAACTAGAGTGATTTCAGGGTTAAACCCCTGTGATTTGTCTCTATGATTATACTTATAACAGCATGTACATGTATACTCAAAATGACTAAAGTATAATTTTAATATTAGGGAACTACATGCATTAGCAATTTGAATACCTAGTATCCCGCTGATATGACCCGCAATATTAAAATGTTACGTAACTATGTCATGTGGCTTAGTTATGTTCTCCGCATGTTAGTGTTCCATAATTTTACTCTCATATCAGGGGCCTGTTTCACGAAACTTTAACAAAAGATAAAATCCAAATTTTAGTAGATACTTTCATTTTGATTGGCTAAGCACTAAAATCAATCTAATGTTATCCAATCTAATTACTAAAATTTGGATTTTATCTTAGTTAAAATTTTGTGACACAGGCCCCTGGTGACTATAAATTCCATTCTCGCTTTAACTTCGTTACTTACGCCATGAAACAGTTGAGACGACTTCCACGAATGAGACTACGACACAAGAATTTCCTGATTTTTATTTGTCAGTGTGAAGTTCGGTGGCCATGGTTTCCATACGTGAACTACTGAACGCTGTTAATTTTATTATAACTGACAGTTTACATCACGACGACACTCACTGAGTTTCGTCGTGTCTGGGGTTGTGATTTAGCACAAAATATGCTACTTTTCCGACGCGCAAAATGATCGACGAGTCTGATCCAGTTTCGGTCATTTTCGGCCAACATGCAACTCATGGTGTGAACAGAAATTAACCGATTATCTGCACTCAACGGTGCATATTATTGTATATGAACGCAGCCATAGTTGTAATGCTACAGCATGATCTATGTATTATATTTAGTATTAAATGTATGTGATATTTTATATCTAATATACAGTACGTGATAACACTATACAACAATTTTAATCTATGTTTATTTAGAAATTTGATTTAACCCCACTGCATGTAACCCACCGTTATTTTACTGGTCCTATTTTCTCTGTCAACGTTTAAGTAGGAAGTTTTCGATTCGAGATTGAAAGTGGTGGGTTATGATTCTAACCGACAAAAATAAAAAATCGCGCGTAGCTAGAGCTCCGTTTTCCTTTCTTGATTTGCCACCTAGAATATATTTTATCCATTTCTATTGATTGGTTGACAAGGCCGAATAACGTAATTTAAATGCCCATGTCTACTTTACAGGCCGAATGAACTTCAATTAAAGGCCCATGTGAACTTTGCATACCTAAATCAGTTCATTGTATTAGACACTCAAGATAATAACACAATCTCCGTTTTATCTAAACGGTCAATCTGATTAAAATTTTGTTTCGGTTTTTTTTATACATTCGATGCCCTCTACTTCATGAAGATCTGACCGGTTGTAGTGGAAGATCGCGTTAGAGGTAACACGAGGGCTTTTGACCCTATGACGTCAGACATTTGATAAACCAATCGGCGTTGATGTTTCTAGTTGGTTACCCACAGTTCCGTGCACCTCACGCCAAAACTCGCCGTAACAGATCGTTTCATTGACTAATCCCTCTTCCAGATCCTAGTGTAGTAAAGACAGGTAAAACGAAACTTTGAACTACAAAAAACGAAACGAAATAGGATCTGTGTTTTAGTTAGATTGCTAAACGTCCATAGATAGGGTGACCCACCATAAAGAAATATCTCCAAATATCTCGACAATTACACCACAATATTTATATATATACCAAGCCTTAAATCAGTTTCGCTCATTTATAGTCACTAAATAAACGGTTATGTTATACTTAATAAGCTATGACCATTTAACCATCTATAAATAATACACTGAAAGATGGTTACGTGTGTCGGCCATAACATCCGGGCACTTGTGAGTAAAAAATAGGTTACGTGCCCTTGTTTTGAAATTAGTCTCGCTTATCCAGTCTACCGACCATTATACGTCTGATTGACAGGCCGGGATAATCAGGACTACTTTTTTACGAAACATAACATAGGCAACTCAACAATTGTTTTAAGAACCTTGTAAAAGTAAAATGAAACTACCGCTAGTATCATGTTCTTGTCGAACGAAAGTGTTTCAGAGATATTATTTGTACTAAACCAAAAGATGCCGCTCCTAACGGTACAGTTAATGATAAAGCAATTTAAAAAATTTAACGAACGTGATTTCTAAAGCTGATCTAATAACCAAAAAGCTAAATTTTACTGCTATTCAGAATCGTCAACAATAGATTTTTTACGGCTGTAATAGTTGATAGATGTGCAGAGAATTGCATGTGCCATGGCTATTTATAGTCTCATGGACTTTAGTGCTGTGTATTATCATACTGCGTGGTTACACAGAAATCACTTCGAGACAAGCCACTGAAGCGTGCACATGTGCCTTGTCGAGTCCAACTTTCTGAAGTGAAAATTTTCACTCTACGGGTCACCCTACCATAGTGTCTATGCATACAAAATAATTAAATATACATTAACTAACATTTGAAATGATTAAAATGCCTCTGAGACAGACGGAGGGGGAAATAAATTTGACTTTTATCCACTAACATTGAGGCCAAAATGTTATTTAATCTACCTTTTTGTCTCAATCTTTTAAATTATCAATTTATGTCTAATTCAAAAAAGGAAATTAATTATTGTTTCCTAGTTATACATTCAATAACATATGCGTCTCTTACAAAATATTTTCAATTTGAACTAAATATCAAGAGGTCAATTGAATGGTAGTAAAGATCAGGTATCAAGTGTTAGGTAAATAATGAGATATCGAGGGGTTTTGTTTATAAATCATAAACCGTGAAGTTTAATTGTTAACTAAGCAGTGTGGCGCCCGTTCGAATATTCTATTAATATTTTATACTTCGTTTCGACGGACCATACGCCGCATAACAACGAAAATTTACACTGAAACAAAAGACGTCTTTTAATCATTGTCTTCTGATATATTTCACGTTAATATGTCTCTTTAATCATCAGAATGAACGAGATTTATATGATCTAGTTATGTGATATAGAGGATTATAGAATTAACTTCTTGACAACAGGCTGTTACAAGTGTATGTACAAGTAGGACATGTACGGTATAGCATAGATGAAGGTAGGTTCGGTTTATTCTTTCAAATGGCATGTATATCTAAAAACATAGTAATATATATTTTAAACATATTTTCATGCTGTCAAATAATAAAGGTTCATCCTTCATATAACACTTAAACGTTAAATATATAAACTAAAACAATATTGAGTATTATGGATACTCAATTACTGAGTGTAATACTCTCGTCTTTATCAAGCAAATGAGAGCCATCCTTGTTGAAACGTTGCATAGTATTAAACTCGGTAATTGTGTATCCATAAAATTGTGTTAATATGTTCAATTATTAAATGCCTATCAAAAGTGTTAAAACAATTTTGTTATGGATAACACATTTAAATTACTGTCGTCATTAGAGTGGCGAATAGTAAGAAATTCACAAGTCATTCATTATGTGGTTTGTTTGTGAACGTGGTGTTTGGTTTGGCTTGATTTTAATTTCGAAAGACTTCGTAACTTTTAGGGACATAAAACTCTCAGTTCCTTTGTTTATTTCGATAGATAACCAGGATATCATCTATTAGGGACTTGGGTGACCAAACAGTGTAACGCGTGCGCTTTAGATCATAAGATCTGTCAACATTAAGTCAAGTCACGTGGTTTCGATCCCACACACGTACATGACATGGAGTATGGTCGCATGTTCAACTTCGTGGGTTTTCTTCTCGTCATCCGGTTTCCTTCTGCTAAAGACCCCTACGCGCAAGCGAATTATTGAAATAAATTAACCTATATGTTAGTCCCAAAATGACCTAGTTTATATCGAATGGACATTTAACTCTTTTTTTTTAAAATACCCCCCCCCCCCCCTAGGTCCCCGTTGTTATATATTTGTAAGACATAACCATTTTCCCCCGATCATTGTGGTAACCGGACCTTGTAATTTTAAACGGAAGAAAATCCTAGTAGTAGTATGTCCCTTTAAGGAGTAAGTGAACTGTATGTCCGATACTGCTCTTTATGAAGATACCCGTGTACCGCCACCTTCTATTATCTTATATGAATACCTTAATAAATGATATATATAAAAAAAATGTAATAAAGTCGTGTGTAGATAACGAAATCAAATACAGTGGTAAAGGTAGTGTGCTGTTTCTTGGCAACGTTGTAGAAACTTCGACTAGAGAACATTTTATTTCAGAAAGCACAACACGGCTTTAACGACTATGTTTTATCAAACGTTGTAGAACATAAAAGGCTACATTAAGATAGTAAGATAATACAATTACGAGGGAGTGGTTTCTAGATTATTTTACGTATTCTTATTGATATTTTTATTGAATTTGCTTTCAGTTGGTGTACAATTTAAATACTCAAAATGTATTCTGTTTCAGAATCACAACTTCAAATTGTTTTGAAGCAGAGGCCAACATAATTTTATATAAACTATTTATCGAGAAGGTGAATGTGTTCACATGTTACAGATTAATTAAAAAAAATGGATCGTTTACAACATCTAAGAAGGGCCAAAGTTGTTGATGATATAAATAATTTTCGACTTTTTGGCGATTTGAGAAAAACGAACTTTGAACCAAGAAAACCAGTTTCACTCGGATCAAGTAAGTTACGATGTTGAACATTTCGTGCACCATGATTAGCTTTATTTGGCGTGCGTCGTATTGCTAGATAATCGAGATTGAACACATCGTATTATGTCGTTTGACTATTCTCTGTTACCCAGAACTATATTGTCTCAACGAATATTCGAAATTGTAACATTGATCTTAGAGTATTAGGGGTGTTGTTTTTTTTTAGTTTGTTGACCATGACTAGCATATCGAGAATTTACTTTGGCATACTTGTGCGTATGTTGAAATGTCCTTAAACCAGGCACAAAAAAAATCGGAAGAGGCAACCTTCGTGAATGTTTTTATTTGATGCTTGTGGTATGTTGTGCTCGATTATAGATCAAGATTTACTGGTGTTAGCCCATTTTGGTGATATGGAGTTACTTCCCTTTAATAAGAAACGTTTCCAATTCACTCGGCGGTACCGGAATCTGTCGAAGTTTGCCAAGTGGTTTCCAAATAAAAGTTCCCTTGTTTACTTATTTTGACATAAAATGTGATCATAAATAAGTTCCATCAATATTTTTTTCAGCTATCCATGCAGAACGGAGTATGTTAATGTTTGAACAAAGAAGAAAACGATATCCTGATAAAGTGTGTTATAAAGACTTATATACCTCTCTTATACAATCTTTACCATCTTATAATGTCACACCTCGTGACGTCAGACGGCTTACCTGGAACACATAGAGTCCTAAACTTCTCATGATTGTAATAACTCATAAATGGCAAGGCCACTGACAGAATGAAAATTGACAAAGTGTGTCGATAATAGAAAGGCGTTACAAAAGAACAGTTTTAAAAGCAAAAGACACTGTTCTTGTAGCCTTGATCTGGTATTTCAAGACCCCCCACCCCCACCCCTCACCATTATAGTACGCCATACTAAGCGCATACTGATGTGTAAATTGTGAATGTGGTAAAATGTATGTATAATCTGTGTGTTGTTAGTGTGATAAAATACTTGTATATACATTTATATATATTTTTTTCGCAGTGTGTTAAAATAATATTATTTATACCTGTTTATTGTAAGTGTGATAAAATACAAATATAATTTGTAGAGTGTGAGTGTCGTAGAATAATTGGGTGATTTGTATTGTGGGTGTGATCGAATAGATTTATAATGGGTGCATTGTGGTGTAACAAAATACATATAATGTGTACATTTTGTGTGATAAAAGTTGACATATTTAAAGGATTTTGTTGCATTAAAAGATCTCTATTTTGAAACTAGATGGCTTTATCTGTAATTCTTGAAGCTATATAATTTACGAACTCTTTATCTAACTAGATAACCTAGGTTAGAGCCAAAAGCTGGAGGGACCACCACGCCTATCCCCAACTCCCTACCGAGTAAAAGCATAAGCACCTATTTAATCCGCGTGTTGAATTAGGAGATATGTTTTAACAATCAAAGCTTCTTTACATCCAAAATTATTGAATACTACCCTTTGTTTATCACTCGATAAAGTTCCTTAATATAAACAAATGCCATTTTGCATTGGTTGTCAGGCTGGTGTTGGTTACAAAACAGTATGTTTATTTTTTACCAAAAAGTATTAGATCGTCTTTAATGCAACCCGATTTAGTTTGTAAATAAATCCACCTAGTTTCCTTAAATAACTATTTTTCTTCACAAATCAAATATTTATGGGTCAAACAAAAAGAAAGCTTTCTCTAGAGATGTATTATAAATGGTTAAATACACCCTGTTAATTATTGTAATGACGGACTCAATCTCATTATTTCTGATAAATGGTTTGTTAATCTTATTTTTCTGCAATTTCTTTTATCTTTAAGTTGGTTAATTAACAATAATATTTTATTCAAAAATCGATCATTCCTTTTAAATTGAAATATTACAATACATAAGTTCTAAATATTTAACTAGCCTACCAATAATAACCTCGATCACTGGTTCGGTGTTAATATAACACCGCGGTTTGCAAAAGCATAAACAATGTTATGAAGACGAAATACCCACATTGGTGACTGTCAAAATCGATTTGACTCTCGGGGTGGTGATTGGAAAAGTGGTTAGGAAGCTATTGTAAGTGGGCGTCTGTTGCTTGTACAAAATATGGATGTTATGGAGTTTGCAAGGGAGTTCTACAGATCAAAGCTGTTGTGCTCTAAAACATAGAAATAAAATATACATGCCAGCGAGCCACTTCTTGTGAGATTCTATTAATGCGCCAATAAAATATTACCTTCTTTTATTTGATTTCATTTACTAGATGCTAGGCCATCGATATTAAAATTTGTGTCAGCTTTAACTTTATTCTCGTGATTCTACGTTCGGCATAACTGTCCCATCTCGTATAATTTATATATTCAACAGATTCCTAATGGTCAATAACTTGGATCTGTCGTGTCTAACCATAATCTGCTCCCGAGAAGAGTAACCATATGACGGCAAGAAAGTGTACTCTGAACAATTAGGGTTTTCACGCGTTTGCGCGTTATTGTGGCGTCATTCGAAGATTGTAAATTGCTAGAATACTAATGCGAATATCTACTAAGATAGAAAATTCAATATTGTCGTTTGATTAGTGACATTTATAAAGCAAACAAATGTTCAGAGTCGCTGTACAAGCATGTTCCTGAAGCAACGACTTCAGAGGTTGTGACACAAATACACTCAAATCAAACTTAGCGAATTCCACGGAAACCTTGACATTATCACAGGTACACAGTTTAGCTGGAAAGCGCGAGACTTGGTATTCGCGATGATCGAGGAATCAGATGGGCTCTCAAGCTGGGCTTGTAACCAATGGAAATTAGTGCCCAAATATGCGGGGTATTGCGTGAAGGGCTTGATAAGATGTACGGGGTTAAACTTGAAACATAAATTAGTATATAGGCCTAGCTCTAAATACATTTGTAATATACTCTTCAAAAATGAAACACACAGCCCATTTTTCATCATGTTTTTATTTGAACGGGATCAGAATAGCACCAGTTAAAAGCAGAATGTGTAAAGTTACATCATAGTTTCCTATTTTTGTATTCGAGCTTACTTGCGTTTCCTTTGTTGTTCAGTATCAATTAGTGTCACGCCAACAAATGTATTCTTTAAAATGCATTGATTATAATCAGCAGCTACGATTCATGTTAGTTATTTCTTTGTTCATGTTTTAAATCACATTAAAACTGTGGCGAACCCAGTGATGACTTTATAAAAGTGGTGGGGTTCAAATCGCAATTGAAGATAAATATTGATCACATTGCTATCCATAATTCAATTCGATGATAACCTTGTTGCAGGTATTGTCATACATTTATCCAGAAACAATTGCGTACTAAAGTTGTGCATTGTCAATATACTAGTTCTTAGTAAAGTGGCGAATTGATCCGTGGGTACATACGCTGGCGATGGCACAATCAGGGGTTCCTAGTCAAAAGTTATATTCAATGACATCGTTTAGTGTAACTTTACAATTGCCTGCAATTTCCCAAAACGTATGCCATTTGTTAATACCATACCTCAAAAGACAAGAACGCCAACATTTAAGACTTTTCGGTTTCACTAGTTTCAGACAAACTAAGCATGACGTTATTCTTATAAACGATAATGATTACTTTATTCTCACAATCATTAACGATTTTATCATGTCAAAAACATATCACTTTACAAAGAATTCAAAATGTTTTAATGTTCCAAAGCAATTGTTAAAAAGTCCTGCCATTTTAAGTAACGATATTGTCTGAACATGTTGTAATATACTGTTCTGCCAATAGTATTCCTGGGATGCCATTGTCTTTCCATTTGCCGTCGTGCATCTTTATTATCCTGGTCATCACCGTTGCCAGGAAAGCCGGTAATCGGGACGTACACTCTCCTTCAGATCCATCGCCTCGATTATGCCGAGTTAATCGGTTTCGAAAATTTATAGTATGTCCTACATTCGAAATTTATGGCTGACGTGTAGTCACAATTAAATAGACAAACCCACTTTCTGTATGTTGGAAATAAAACAATGGACCTTCCTAGAACATCAATCAAAAGGAGAGGTTTTGTTTACCTTTAAAGATCACAGCAAATTGCAGCGATTTCATTGGCTGATCAGTCGGTCAGCAATTATTGCCAGTTGTCATCTCTGAATCCGCGACAAAATAAAATCCTAAATTAAGAAAATAATTCGATAATATCTGGTTAGCAGGGTTTTCGCGCGTATGAGCTCATTTCGGCAACATGGATGATTTATTGAATTTCTAGAAATATTTTCAGCCACACCGATGGGTCGAACAAAAGTCATAAAAATCTGGCCCAGCTTCTGGCTTGTAACTAAGATAACTAGAACAAATTCGATGTTCACTTCTACAAATACAACCAAATTTTAATGTATCATGGGTAGGGGTGACTACAGCAATGGGGTTGATCGTGTAAAATGCCGAAAGACGTCATCAGTGAGCAGCGGAGTAACACAAACTCTGTTACGAAGATCATGGACAGAAATGTGCATCCCATACCCGATTGATCCGCGTAATTCTACTTTTCTAGTCACAAGATTGAACTCTTCTTTCATAATCAGTAACTTACTGTCCTCAATACACAGCCGTTTTGAAGGGGTGAAAAAATATCGTCATTCCCTACCCTATGGGGTGTCGTTTAAAAGTAGTGTCCGGAATTTGAAATGGATGGCTGCGCGACAATGGCTACTCGCCATGTGGGGCCAGGCGTCCAGTAAACTGTAAGAGCGTTGACTACCGTGATTCTGCATTTTCTTGTTAATCAAGTACAGGTTTCCCTGTGTTCCAGTTGGTTGAATGCTTTTCCCACGATCATATATTTAACTGAATTACAATTTCTGACTGTCCGTCACACTAGCTTGCTTTCTTTTTGCCCTGTAACATGGACACATGCATGATATTAACTGTGCAAAGTTGTTTCTGAATCTGACACTGTTGAAGGCATAAAGCAAGGGGTTGATAGACGACTTCAACCACAATAAATAAGTTGTAATCTCATAAAGATGAAAGTTCACACAATCATTGCAAAATGCGATCAGTATATTTGCTATAGAAAAGGGCCCCCAACACAACGCAAAAGCCACAACCAGAACTCCTAGAGCTTTAGCAGCACGCAGATTCCTTTTAGCTGTTATAAGTTTAGTTGAGGGTTTTTCGGACTGCTGGGTAGATTTGTCAGACAGCCTAGTTTGGTCGTGAATGGTGGAGATGCTCATAGGCCTTTGACTATTAGGAACCACTTTTCCCCTTTTTTTAATTTCATAATATACGATAGAGTTGAACACGACTAACAGTATAAAAGGGATGAAAAATTCACAAATGGCAGTGATTAAAACGTATTCAAAATTATCGAAAAATTCTACATCGCATTCAGTTTCTTCAACTAGAGGATAACCACGCACCAGATCCCAACTTATGATTGCTGGTCCATAAATACAAAAGGCCAATATCCACGAAATGCCTATTTTAATGTAAGCTGTTTTCATAGTTTCTTTGACTGTGTAAGAGGCACCCAATTTCACAAGAAGCAGGCGGTCCAGACTGATTAACAATGTAAGAAGTACAGTTTCATTGCACATCGTGTAGTCGTTGATAAGAAACAGCTTACAAAAGGCTTTTCCGAAAGGCCAGTAGTCGCGAACCGTATAAGCAGCGTATAGTGGCATGCTGATAATACCGATGAGAAAGTCGGCAATGGCTAGGTTTAAAAGATACACGTTCATGACAATTCTCAGTTGTTTATCACGTATGTAAGACATGATAACCAATAGGTTACCCACTACAGCAAATAAAATCATGATGGTAATGCCAATACCAGCAAACGCACGAACACCATATGTAGATCTCTCAACGCCATCATCGGTTTGGTTCATCTACAAAGACAAAATATAAACAAAACTACTTGAAATATATTTTTAAAGGGGAAGTCAGTTTGTTTGTGGATTGCATTGAATGGGTTGGTTTGAGGAACTGTATGTTTTGTGTTGATCCATTTTTGGTACCTTATTTTTTGGCTACGGTACAAAAAGCGACATTAGCCTTGACATGCCAGCAAGTACAATGGTGTGTATTATATATAATTACACATAATGCAGTACTCAATAAACATGTAGAATTAAAAATAAGTAAAAATGGAAACTATCTAAGTAAATAAGAAACACTTGTCTAATTCACAGACTTGTACTGTTAATAAAAAGGTGGGGTTTTAAAAGCTCCTTAGCAGAGTGTTGCATGAATACAATGATAACAAGATACACCCATATTTTGGAAGAGATGGGCATTCAGGGGCCATAACTCAGGATGTTACGGCCCGACATACGTCAACATTGAAAGTAACCGAGATCTGTTGGGATATAAACATATATATTTTAACGTTCATCAAAAATGGATAAAAAGTGTGACACTTAGAGGGTCCTTAACCTTGTATTACATGCTTTCACCCAATTTGCGTACAGGGGAGTGGCCATTTTTGTCAGGCAGTTTTCTCGAAATTGAACCGTAATTATGGTGTAACAAGCTAAAAACGCGGATATTGTACAATCAGGGGCTATAATCCAAGAAGTTAATGTCCGATATGCTCCAATATCACTGGGTTATAAGCGTACATTTAAGTTTCATCAAAATCGGATAAAAAGTGTGACCTCTAGACTGTCCACATGCTAAAACGCATTATTCATAATCCATGAAGTTAAAAGGTACGAGTCAAAACGAGATATTTGAAATATACATCTATATCTCAAGTTTCGTCAAAATCGGATAAAAATTGTGACCTATAGAATGTCCACAAACAAAATGTGAACGGACACTCGGGGGGGCGGACAGTGGCGACGGTATAATACGTCAATTTGAAAATGTGGACGTATAAAAAGTGAAACCACATAATAAACGCATTTTCTGTTGTTTTAAAATCGGTTCACATTGGTGCAAATATATATAAACGTCTGGCAGATGGACTTTGCAGTAGAATAGTTGGAAATTCTCCTTGGTTTTGTAAATCTATACCTTAGTAAATAAAAGATCTTAAAGTGATCCAGGTAAAATATTGACAACGCGTTAAATCCTATACACTGCCTGAATTGAATGGTGTGTAAACAATTAACATTCTTTCCTCGCATGGAAGTGTTTCAAATTAGATTTCCGCAGTGCTGTATCGTAAGTTGGCCTATAAATTCCGATTTTTATCGAAAATCGATGTATTGTTTTATCGATTACATGATAACATTTCAATATATAACTTTATAAAGAAAAATATAAACGGTCACGATATTACCGTTACCAATCATTACTGAATAATTTTTATAACAATGAGGTTTAACTTTCCACATTTCTACACATACCGGTCTAACGAAGACGGGCGTACATGGGACTTCGGGTTTTCGTTCTTTCTTAGCAGGAATTCCGCCAAGCACTGCTAAAAAGGGGAAACCACGCTGTCAAATCCTGAGGAAAGGAAGTATGTAGTTTGATTTTTTATTTGGTGTAGGCTTAGACGTGCAAAAGTATTAAAACCCAGTACTTTGAGAAAAAAAAATGGATATAAATTAGTTTGATTATATAGATGCTTTGCTTATTTCATTGGGAATGTTGTTCCATTTCAATTTACTACACTTATTAAAATATCCATTACAAGATCCTTCAATATTCCAACTTTAATCTAATCGTCTGTTGTATATGGCTACAATTTAGGAACAATAAGTGGGAATAATCTCTTGATAGATGAAGAAAATTAATTAAATTAATGGCCCGTATTTTTTAATAAAATGGTTTTCCATTATTTTTCTTTTCGTCATGTCATCGACTTTCATTTTTTAGAACGGGAAAATTTGAAATATTACTTTTAGCTGGTTGCGTACTCTATCCCGTGAGGTTTGTCCGTCTCTCCGATGGAAAAAATTTCGACAACCAGGGCAAGGCATATATGAGGTATTTTTTGTCACATTACATATTGTCGTTGACGTTAAAAGTGAAGTTGTAAAAATTATATGACGTGCTGTTTGGCGTTGTATGGTCGCAACATTTACATCGAAGACCCGGGCATTTAGATACATAACCAGCGGCTACCAGACAGGATACGCCCACATTTTGCAAGAGATGGATAGAGAACAAGCTAAACAAAAAGCAATTTTTCGTACAATCAGAGGCCATAATTCAGGAAGTCACGATCCGATATGCGCAAATATCGAAAGGAACCAAGATCTTTGGGTTATAAACTTACATTTCAAGTTTCATCAAAATTAGAAGAAAATTGTCACCTCTAGAGGGTCCACAACCTTGATATACCATATTTTTGCGCTATTTGAGCACGAGGGGCGGACATTTTGTCTGGCAGTTTTGGTCCTATTTTCACGAAATTCGAACTCATCGATCCTTAGGGTGTAAAGGTGATATATTCAAACATTTTTTGAAATCGGATAATAATTGTGACCTCTAGAGGGACTTCAAGCTAAAAACCATCAGGGGCCATAATTCAGGAAGTTACAATCCTATATGCGCGAATATCGAAAGGAACCAAGATCTTTGGGTTATAAACTTATATTTCAAGTTTCATCAAAATCAGAAGAAAATTGTGACCTCTAAAAGATCCATAACATTCATATACCTTATTTTTACACTATTTGAGTACGAGGGGCGTCCATTTTGTCTGTCAGTTTTGGTCCGATTTTTATGACTTTGAATTCAACCATCCTTAGGGTGTAACGATGATATATTTAAACGGTTTTTGAAATTGGATAAAAATTATAACCTCTAAAGGGTCCACAAGTTAAACGCGATTTTCCGTACAATCAGGGGCCATAATTCAGAAAATTACGGTCCGATATGCGCGAATATCGAAAGGAACCATGATCTTTGGGTTATAAACTTATATTTCAAGTTTCATCAAAATCAGAAGAAAATTGTCACCTCTAGAAGGTCCACAACATTCATATACCTTATTTTTACGCTATTTGAGTACGAGGGGCGTCCATTTTGTCTGTCAGTTTTGGTCCGATTTTTATGACTTTGAATTCAACCATCCTTAGGGTGTAACGATGATTTATCACCCAATAATACATTCTACAGTAGATATCGCTTGTGTGATATATTTCATAATCTACTGCGATATCTCCTTACATGAATTTGATTGGTCAGTTGAAAAGGAACTACTTTTTTTATTTTAAAAGAACAGTTCATTTCTTATTAAAAGTATTTTCTTTTTTATTAAAAATGAACTATTGTTATTCAATTGACCTTGATGGAAACACTGGGTCAATATAAAGGACTTTGCAATGGTTGAATCACTACGCCGTAATGTTCAGTAAAAGTGAAATCTACAGCAAAAAATTATATCTATCTATTTGTGCATGTAAGAAGGGATTGGGTGATAAATAAAATCTCCTACTCGTCTTTTTTGATATCAAAAAATATCAACACTCGTTGATAAAGTAAAAAAAAACTCGGCAGAGCCTCGTTTTTGTTACTTTATCAACTTGTGTTTGCGCATATCGGATCGTGACTGGTAGGAGATTCTCTATATATTCAAATGTTTTTTGAAATTGGATAAAAAATTATAACCTCTTATAGGGACCACAAGCTAAAACACGATTTGCCGTAAAATCAGGGGCCATAATTTAGAAAGTTACGGTCCGATATGTGCGAATATCGAAAGGAACCGAGATCTTTGTGTTATAAACTTACATTTCAAGTTTCATCAAAATCAGAAGAAAATCGTGACCTCTAGAGAGTCCACGACCTTGATATATCATATTTTTACGCTATTTGAGTACGAGGGGCGGCTATTTTGTCAGTCAGTTTTGGTCCAATTTTTACTAAATTCGAACTCAACCATCCTTTGGGTGTAACGGTGATATAATATAACGGTTTTTTAAATCGGATAAAAATTGTGACCTCTATGGGGTCCACAAGCTAAAAACGCGATTTTTCGTACAATCAGGGGCCATAATTCAGGAAGTTATGGTCCGATATGCGCGAATATCGAAAGGAACCGACATCTGTGGGTGATGAACATACATTTCAAGTTTAAACCAAATCGGATAAAAATTGTGACCTCTACAGTGTTCACAAGCTAAAAACGTGATTTTTCATTCAATCAGGGGCCATAATCCATGAAGATACAGTCCCATACATGCTAATATCGAAAGGAGCCGAGATCTTAGGGAGATTAACCTATATTTCATGTTTCTTTGAAATCGGATAAAAATTGACCTTTAAAGTGTTCACAAACAATTGTGGACGGACGGACAGGGGCGACGACAATATACGTCCACATGAAAATGTGGGCGTATAAAAACTGGTCCTTGTGATAGACGAATTGAAATTTGCTTGGGTTAGAAGGCGTTTCAGATTAGCTGGCTGGCTTTACGATTTAATAAATTGAACATTGTCAAATTTCGTTCTGAGGCTGTCGTTTGATGCCAGGATGGTCCTGCTCTCGTGCATTGTTTTAAAGATGTTGGGGGTTATGGGTAGCAACAGAGGTAATACAATTATCCGAACCCCGTTTTACTTTAGTAGCCCTCAATGTTTGGATATCAATTGCCAAAGCCTTATTTATCCCAACTTGAATTACCTTGAAGGGGTAATGCTGTTTCAATAAATTTCTTTTTAGCTCACCTAATATGACAAGATAAAATTAAAGAAACTCGATGTCGTACTGAAATATTTTCTAAATCATTTATTCCATCCAGCATAAGAGAGTGGAATAAACTCAGCCTCCCTCCCTCTTAAAATATTCTCCGACCATCTCTCCAAATCAGATATAAAAATTCCATCTTTTTACTACAACGGTCAGCGGAAACTCCAGATAATCCA